GCAACCAGTGCTGCAAACCATTGTGTGAATGCAGCATCATTCATAGCCGCAACCAAGCTGGTTAGGATTCCCCATAGCCAGCTCCGAGAAGGATTTTCAATTGACACCAAAATGCCGAGCTGAAAGCAAAGAAAAAGTAGCTGGACTCCAAAACTGTAAAGCTTGTTGGCCGCTTGAACCTTCGCTAAGTTGGTGCCAAAAAGATGAGGTAAACCCATCAAGTGCTCTGCTGACCTCAAAGGTGGTGGTGCACTGTGTTGACCCCGCAGGTGCTCCGGCAATTGGCGGTCCCTTGCACGTGAACAAGTGCCGCAAGGAAGGCCCAAGTGAATTCCAATGGGTCGAAGTTGTCGAACCATGTCCAAGGCTGTCTGTTGAGAGTGCTCTTGGGTGAGATCTGACAAAATCAAAGCAACCTTAGGTTGATGACGATTGTGCTCATGGTCAATGCTGTATGTAGTGAATCCAGCCTCACGCATTGCTGATGACAGGTTACCTGACCCAGCACAAAATTCAATAAATACTGCATTGCGATCGGTGATACTGTTTGTTGCACCTTGTCAGGAGCTCCCCACATGGGAGCACTCGTGGTATGGGAAATGACGATTGCAATTCACCTTCCAACAGACATGATATCCATGCATGCATCGCTTGCCTGCCTTCACGTTTGCCCGGCAAGCTCCAACGTTAAACTTCATGCAAATCGGCTTATTCTTGTTCTCCCCAAACTTGATTGCACAGCTCTGGAATCTGTATGCGGCCTTTGCCCTGATCTTTGCCTCCACTTTTGCCTTTGCCCTTCTGTTGCTGAGCTGCTTGAGGTCGGTCTTGTTGATATGGCTGAAACCTCTGGTTGGACGAGGAAGACTGTGAAGACTCTCTCAACGGCAGGGGCAACATATGAAATTGAACATCTGGATGGTGCGCAAGCTCTCTCAAAGCAACATCAACATTCTTGATGCCCTCTGCAGTTGTTCCCGTAACTTTTGACCTTGTGGTCTCTGCTACTTTCACCCACAACTTGCGATCAGCATGAATGATCTGGTCTATTGAAATGTGACGGTACCCTGTGGGTGGCTCCTGGCAGATTCTATCAAATAAAAGCTGCGACCATGACTCCAAGACTTCAAACGATGCGATGTTGGCCAAATCATAAGCCAAGCTCCTTCTCGTGAATGCAGCCCTCAACTTGATCTCTCCATTGATTGAGCACTCTGTGACTGCGCTTTGTTTTGAAACTTTGATATTCCCTTGAGCATCAAATGAAAGCTGAGAAGTGGAGCGCTCACTTTTGATCTCTTGTTCGCGAGAGGTGCATTTGCTGAGCTCCACAAGCTTCACACAGTTCTCCTCATATTGATGTACAACTCTGTCAATAAGTTCATGACTCGGTTCCATGGAAGTGCTAAGCATGATTCCCGGAAATTTTCGCTTCAAGGCCTCAAGCCTTTGTACCTTTTCAGCCAAAGGTAGGATCTTCAGTTCAGATGCATCGCTGCGATTCAAACGACTCTCCAAATCTTTCGATGCAAGTGCATGACTCTCAAAGAAAAGTCTCCTATAGTTCGACGCATCTGCACCAGCGGGCTTTGCACCCAAAATTGACTCCAAATAGTCAAAAAGCACATCTTCATTTCCACTCCCTGGTTGATATGCACAGCAGAAAGCATATCGAGAGTAGCTATTGATACCTCCGGTTTTCAAAGCTTGCACATCTGCTGAACTGATTCCAACCTCTAAAGCTCTTGACTGAAATGCAGCCTCTGAGTCCAGAGCCATTGCCCGCACAGAAACGTTCGAAGAAATCACAAAAAGTATGTTGTTCCTTTTTCGGTGCATGGTTCGGCAATGGAGTAGTTGCAAAACACCCTGGAAAGATTGACCGTGCATGTTGTGGTGGCTAATATGATATTACCGATAACACGGATTCAACAAAAACTGGTTTTATTAAGTGCTCAACGTTTTGTCCTGATGATATGCTGTCATGTGGATTCCACTCAAACGTGAAATCAACTTGAAAAGCCAAGCCACAGTCATTGAGCGGGGATTTTGGCATGTGTCACTAATCCCCTCAGAGATGGTTGGAGAGGATTGCATAACACAGTTTTTCTTCCCGCAGCCAACACAATCGATTGCTGGCGTGACTGAAAATGTCGCTTGGTGGTTGATTGAAAATGTGAGTGAAATGACATGTTTGACAACAGCATAACAATGGACAACGTTTATGGCAGCACTAAGAAAATCTTTTCGTCTGAAAGCGCACACAGGTCTGCAAACTAAGGTGGAAACTCCTCGTCTTCAAAGAGTGCATCCCTTTTGATCACAGCGTTGCACTGTATGCACATCAAACCTGTCTTCGTCTCTGCACTGTCTGGGTCGGTGAGATTCAAATTCACCGTGATCGCTCTGCCGCACAACAGTCGCTGTTCATCTCCTTCGGAGGCATTGTGTGCTGCATGAACCACTCCTGTAAAGGCATGCATGTACCATGTCAAGTCATGACCGTCAAGGGGCACTGGGTCTCGAGTGCTCTCCAATGCATCGTCAAGGCCACTCTGTGGCTCTCCAATCTCATCCAAATCAACATCCTGACTGTCTTCGTCGGACGCCTCAATGTCGGGGTCCTGCCAATGTTCAGCAACCTCTTCATCAAGAGGTTTTGTCCCTTTTTGAACCATCATGCTCAAACGCTCAGCCCGGCTAACGTCTGGCTTCAGCTTTCCAGTCCTGATCAAGTTGATAAGTTTCAGAACCTTGTACTGTAAAAGAATCTGAGAGTCCCGGTTGTAGATGGTGCTTGATCGTGTCTGAGGCTCCACATGATGCCCCAACAGCGTCCTTTCTTCCCTTGTAAAAAGGGTACACATTCCAGCCCAGGTGAGAAGGGTGCACTTGCAACTGTGACTAGAAAACTTCCAGGCTTGCTGCACCCGGCTTGCCGCCAGCAGTTCACGTATCCAGCATGTAGCCTCGCCTGAGGACATTGGACAGGAAGACCAAGTCTGTGCCACCTCATTCCATGAGGGTAAGAAAATCTTTCCCTCATCAAGACCAGTGTTGGTCCTTGCAAGAATGAAACTCTGAGCCCAGTCAGCAGAGCCTATAAACCTGCCCAAGCTTGTAAAAGGCAACAAACGTGTCTTGCTCTCTTTTGTCATGGACGTCTTGTGTCTGGAAGTTTCAGCCTCAAGCAAACACATAGTTATGTAATTGTCGAGCCACACTGACTCAATGCGCATTGCGTCAAACCATCGAATGCAAGCAAAAATGCAAAATAAAATGGCACCGCAAATGACTCTGACATGTGCTCGTGGATCTTCGTTGCATAGGTCCTCAAGAATGCCAACGGCCTCAACGGTAAAGGCTGGTGCCTGTTGTAGCTTCCTTTTCTGCAAAAACATGGTGTGAGCTGCTCCAGTGACTCGTGAGGTGAGAACTGAATGCAAGTTCATCTTCTTAAGTCTGAAAATCTGATCACTAAATCTGAGGGCTTCAACAAAATGACTGGCTGCTGTTGGTGCAGCTCCATTGTCACGCAGGTGATTCATATACCGATATACTGTGTCCTCTGTCTGATCAAAGCAAGTGCCTCTGTCAGTAGTCGCCACCCAGTTGGCCCAGCGCCAGAGCGATGAGGAGCGTTTCAAGAGTGTCCCAGTGGCTTTACTGGATAAGGCATCTGAAAGTACTTGCAAAACATCTGTGCTTGTATCAAGACTGCCAACACAGTTCAACATTGATTCACCTATTCCCGTTGCATGCAAATCCAAGTTGACCAAAACTCTGAAACGATTTAAGGCCCGTGACCGCAGCTCGTCGTCCTGAATGTTGTAAGAAGTACATGCAATGCGTTTCCTTACAAACTCGAGAGGTGCCTCCACAGCTGCAGGTTCTGATAAGACTGCTTGAGCTTTGGGACAAGGATTCAAAACATCTGCCAAACCAAGCTGTGAAGACTTGACATCAAATCGCTTGTTGAAACTCTCTCTATTGAAAATTGGCGCCAGAGGTCCGGACTCGCACGGCATCTTCACTCTCTTGGAGGATCGCAACACAGAAAGAGCAGTTGAAATTCCAGTTTGTTCAACATGTGTCTGTGGTATGTATTGCACAGTTTCACTGGAAGAAGCACTGCTAAGTTGCTGATACCCTCCTAGATGTTGACCACTGTCATGTACTGCAAGGCTTGCACCAGGCTCAGACCCAAGGGTGGTGTCGATGGACTCCCAACGCTGTCGGCTGGCTCTTGACCAGCAGCCCATCGCTTGCGAAAACCCTTGAGATCCATGTGGTGTCGAAAAAGCCCTAACAAGTAAAACCAGTGATCTGACAAAAGTTGAAAACATGCCATGTTAAAAGGTTGACCCCCGTAACGCTGAGAAAGAACTTGTTTGAATTGAAAAACAAGTTTCAATGCCCGCCACTCCACGACCCTTGATTCAGAAATGTCACAGCACAAGATATATGATTATCAGTGCAATGATTTCGAAGGTCTCTCTGTTTAGTTGGTTTCTTAGATGTGGCTACCGTTCTTACACAGAAAAGTTGAGACGTCAAACTTGTGAGCAGAAATCAGGTTTGACCGTTTCAACAGGTTGACAAAACAACACCTAAAAGACGGTGTTAAATTTTTGAGTTAGAAAAGAGCGTAGTCGGTTTACACTCAGGAAATAAACTCAAGGGAACTTCCACGATATACACTTTGGTGAAACTACGCTCCGTGGAGCCTTCGCCGAGCTTCCAAGACATGGCTGTCATTTCATGAACGCCTTCATCTTCCAGGTCCAAGGGCATGTTTCTCGCGCAAAACACGGCTTTATCCCCCATTGTCGGTATATAAAGTGGCGACCGGAAACCCGCTTTATAAGCGCAAAGGATGTCCACTTTATAGTGAGCTATACATGGGGGATATAATTTACAATTTTGATCCATTAAGGAAATTCGAAGACTTCTCAACCAGCAGAGCACACCAAAAACCGGACGCAGGCTCAGCCCCAGACTCTTCTGCAACATCATAAGGAATGCCACCTGCATCCAGCCATGTTTAAAGGTGGTGTCCTGGGTATAGTTGCCCTCCTGAAATCCAAGATATCCAAGGCCCATACTGGGTGTCATGTCTGATTTCCAAGTTAAAAAATTAATGGCCGTTCACCTTATTAATGTACATACAACCTGGCCAGTCAGGGGGCTATGAAAGACAATGAAAGTGCCAAGTTGCATGGTGACGCTGCCACCTCAAATCCAGGCAGGTGACCCTTGTGCTTCATGGCATGCTCATCAACAGGTTTTCTACATGTGGAAAATGATGGGAACTCAGGGTTTCTAAGGGAAAAAACCAAACAACCTGACTCTAACCCAGAATTTTGTTTTCGTTCAAGTCTTCGAAATCTAGAGCCGCAGGACAAATACATACAAAACCATAGCAACAACATGCAACAAACCATCTGGGTCGGAAAATTCATGCCAAGTGTCAATTCATAAGTTTCCCGGTTCCAATTGTACGACCTGGTTGGAGTTTGAATCTCCAGATGGCCTGTCGAAGGCAAGGCGTTATGAGTGGCAAGCGTTGAGACAGAAGACCCCCTAATTTTGACTTCCAAATAAGGTTGTGTTTGTGTATGCTTGTTAGTTTTGAATTACAGATTGTGTATATATGATGGTGTCATGTTCGTTCGTTTGATTAGGTTTCAAGCAGCCAATTCTATCGCAAGTAAATGATTTCCGACGCATATAAGCTGATGTTCCGGCTGGGTTGTCAACTTGTGTGATTCATCCTCTTCTTCCATCAATGACCAACTCTCAGCTTTCACTTGCTGTTTTTCACTGAATGCTAAGGAATAATAATGATAATGTGATAATAATAGCTGGTGAATCCAGTATTTCTGCATCAACCATGATCAAAATCAATCAATAATGGAAAACACTTTTTTGGGACCTCGATCCATTTCTTTTGGACATGGACACTTTTCATGGACCTTACTACAATTCTTTTGGAGATGGTGACCGTTCTTTTGGACCTGCGCGCCCTCCTGCTGAACCTGGCCCTTCGCCAAACCACACCCCCTTTGGATAGATTCTCCAAGCGCCGTCTTGATCGCAATTCGTCAGACAGTAGGGAGCTAGAGCTGCGCTACCATGCAACATGGCAGGAAGCATTTCAGTACATTGTGTGGTTCAGTGCCTCCTTCCCTTTCTGCCCTCTTCTCAATTCCTACTTTTCACACCTCTTCCGGCCTTTCTCAGTTACGCAGGGGCTCAACTTGGTGTGAACCTGGGTGAAAGTGCCTCACTTGGGGACATTCATCTGGTTTCAATGTCTAAACTTCCCCCCTTGCGCCTCTCATCAAACTTCCGACATTTCCTGCATTCATTGGGTTTCAATATCTATAATTACCTCCCCCTAGCCACTCTGCAACTCCTTGCATTCATCTTGTTTCAATATATAAACTTCCCCCCCCAGTGCCCCTCAACAACTTCCTGCATTCATTTGGTTTCATATGTGGCACCCCCGTGGCCTCCCCGCAACTTCTTGCAAGCATCTTGTTTCAATATTCTAAAGCTCTCACACACCTGTGCCTCTCAGCAACTTCCTGCATTCAGTCATGCGGTTTCAGTATCTAGGCTTCTCCCCCTCGTCTCTCCACAACTTCTTGCATGCATCGTCATTTGGGTTCAATATCTTTGCTCTCATAGGGTTTGAATAGCTATACTTCCCCCCGGCCCTAGCCTCTCCACAAACTTCTTGCGTTCATCTTGTTTCAATATCTAAGATTCCTCCCCGGTGCCCCTCAACAACTTCCTGCAGTCATCTTGATTCAATATCTAAACTTCCTCCCGCCCCTCAGCAACTTCCTGAATTCATTTGATTTCATCCCCCTTTGCCTCTTCACATTTTCTTGACTGCACCTGGTTTCAATAACTAGGTTTCCCCCCTCGTCTCTCCACAACTTCTTGCATGATCGTCATTTGGGTTCAATGTCCTAGGCTTCACCCCTCATCTCTCAACAACTTATTGCGTCATCTTGTTTTAATATCTAGCTTTCTCTTCCCCCAATGTGCCTCTCAACTTCCTGCATCCATTTAGTTTCGTTTGTAGGTTTCCCCCCGTTGGCCTCTCCACAACTTCTTGCGTTTATGTTGTTTCAGTATCCGAATTTCTCCTGCACCCCCCTCTCTCTCACCAATTTTCTGCGGTCATCTGGCTTCAATATATACATGTTCCCCCGTTTCTGCCAACACCTTCTTGCATGCATCTTGTCTCAATACCTAAATTCCCCAAAATTCCCGCCACCCTGTGCCTCTCAGCAGCTTCCGGCATTCATCGTTTGGTCCCAAAACTTCCCCCTGCGTCTCTCAGCAATTTTTTGCATGTATCTTCATGTATCTTCATTTAGTTTCAATGTCTAGGCTTCACCCCTCATCTCTCAACAGCTTTTTGCGCTCATCCTATTTCAATATCGAACTTTCCCTTGCCCCTATGTGCCTCTCAATTTCCTGCATCCATTTCGCTTCATACGTAGACTTCCCCCACTGGCCTCTCCACCACTTCTTACGTTTTTGTTGTTTCAATCTCCGAACTCCCCCTACATCAGCAACTTCTTTCATCCAAAAAAACATGTACAGGTTCAAAAAAAGAAGGCGCCAAGGTCCAAAACATCCAGCCCAATGTGAGCGCCTATAGCAATGGAGTTTCCCCCCCGACCCTACGGAGGCAAGGTCCACGAAGCAGGTGCACGGGACCAAAAAAAAGAAACCGATGTCAGAAACAATAATTTGGCTGTCTAAAAAAATTCCCTGGGTCCAGCACAAGTACATGCAGCACATGAAGGTCCAAAAAAAGTATATCCCGACAGGGTCCAGAAAACACACAGGCAAGTCCCCCACATTTTTGGGGCCCCCAGGTCCCAAAAAAATCTTGCCAGGTCCAAAAAACATGTACAGGTCCAAAACAAGGGTGCCCAGGTCCAAAAAACATGCGTCCCATCAATAATGACCTGGTGGAAAATGAACCCAGTGATCCAGTAGATAGATAGACTGGCCTTATTTCCAGTAAATAATGCTCAACCCCCCTGCAATTCGATGATTTTATCTATTAAGAAACAATAGTTCCATAGCAAACGGTTTGCTTACATTAAGGGGCCTCATTCATATCATGTTAAACTACATCATTGAACCAACATGTTCTGCCTGGAAAACTCCCCTTCTGAATCTCCCGTATGATCCATCCGTATGCCTTCCGGTAGGACATTTCTCCACCAGGTGCCTGGAACGAAGGGCCCCATCCGGTTGGAAAATCATGGCTTTTATTAGTAAAGATTCATCAAATTATTCATCCATGGTCAGGAAATACATGGAAATACTAGGTTTATTATATGAAATACTGGAAAAGAACATGAGATCACGGGAAACAAACGGGGGTAATGGAAAATATCATCGGGTTAAGAAAACAATCACCGGGTTAAAACACCACTAAAATTCTAGGATGCCCTAGGATTGCTTTGCACAGCCATGAGCCTGTTCATATGTTTTGAATAAAGGCAGAAAGTTTGCTGCAAAGCAATGCAAAGTGGTGATGATCCACTTGTTTTAGTCCAAATCACCCACAAAATTATACTTCCCAATACCAGTAGTACCCGCACGAAGCGGGGCGGAAGTTGCCTTACTATAAGACCCTTCTCATCTATAGAACTTGCATGCGCTGTGCGCCAGCCAGGCCCGTGCATGCGTGCTTTGTGCGAAGCTGTTGCCGTGTTGTTGTCCAAGAACATGACCTGCGCGATCACGTTGCAGCGCAACGCCAAGCGAACCTTTTCTTCTGACTTCACACTGCGCTCTTCACACCTCGCACTTCACACTTCACACTTCGCACTTCACACTCCACACTTCATCTCATCTCAATTCATGAGAACTCTTGTCACCTCATCTCAGCTCTTCTCATCTCATCCCATTTCTTCTCACATGTAAGTTCTTCTCAACTTTTTTCTCATCTCATCCGAGCACTGAGCAACCTTTCTCATCTCCTCGAAGTTCGTCTCAACTCAACTCATCTTAGCTGTTCTGCACGCCAGAAAGCTCTTACTCTCAGAGAGAAGTCTGTTGCCAAAAAACAATTGGGCGCGGAAAGCTTTTGTACACAGACACTTGAGACACAGAAGCATTTAGACAGAAAAGCCTTTCCGAAATACTTTGTGCTACAAAGCTTGCACAAAGTACTTTGCACTACAAAGCTTGCACAAAGTACTTCCCAGTACTACTTTGCACGACAAAGCTTGCACAAAGTACGTCCCAGCACTACTTTGTACTACAAAGCTTGCACAAAGCTTGCACAAAGCACGTCCCAGTACTACTTTGTACTAAAAACCTTGCGCAAAACACGTCCCAGTATTACTTTCTACTACAAAGCTTGCACAAAGTACGTCCCAGTACTACTTCGTACTACAAAGCCTGCACACAGCACGTCCCAGTACTACATTGCTTTACAAAGCTTGCGCAAAGTACTTCCCAGTACTATTTCGCACTACAAAGCCTGCACACAGCACGTCCCAGTACACTTCGTACTACTTCGTACTACAAAGCCTGCACACAGCACGTCCCAGTACTACATTGCTTTACAAAGCTTGGCCAGAGTACTTCCCAGTACCACTTCGTACCACAAAGCTTGCACAAAGTACGTCCCAGTACTACTTCGTACTACAAAGCCTGCACACAGCACGTCCCGTAATTGCAGCTCCAAAACTGGATCTCGGCGCCAAAGCATGAAAAAACACGATTTTGAAGCTCTTTTTCAATGAAATTTTCAAAACAAAATCACCAGCGCCAAAATTGACAAAAATCTGTTAACAAATCACTATCGCAACCTTGATGCAGCCACTCCAATATATATACCGATTTACGACTCTCAGCTGTAAAGACACTAGTATTACACAGGCAGCCGCGGCGCCAAGAAACCTTGACGCAGCCACCACACTGCGATCTGCAGGTGTTCATGCAACTTTCACGCAGCCATTACACTACAAACTGCAACCACAGGTCCCATCGCCGCCTGCAGCCACTTTACACGGAAAAACATAAGGTTTCGCGCTCCGGCTTCCTCCCCAACACAAGCCCCATGCAACGGGCATGCAGCCACTACAATGCGTTTTGCAGCATCACGTGGCTTACACGCATGTATCTACCTATGCAGATGGCAACAGAACATGACAAGAATCACGCAGCCATTACACTGCGATCTGCAACCAGAGATTCAAGAAGCGCAGAGAACTACGCACACATGAACAACTACTCTATTGCAGAACACAAAGGAGGAACCAATAGGAACCAAGTCGCGTCCGGAACGACCGCAGCCGCACAAGCCGCACATACGAGGTACTCGCCGGCTGTAGCCACTTTACACGGAACAATTACACGGAAAAACGCAAGGTTTCGTGCTCCGGCTTCCTCCCCAAAACAAGCCCCATGCAACAGTGACGCGGCCATTATACAATGCGTTTTGCAGCATCACGTCATATTGCGTCTCCAACCCGCATGTCTCGACACACATATGGCAACACAACGTCACAGCAATCATGCAGCCATTACACTGCGATCTGCAACCAGAGATTCAAGAAGCGCAGAGAACTACGCACACATGAACAACCACACGTTGCAGAACACCAAGGCCGATTCGACGATGAAATGACTGCAGCCGCACCCGCCGCACACACGAGGTACCTGACACTGCGATCTGCAGTCACAGTGCACATGAACAACCACACGTTGCACCAAGGGAGAGCCGATTCGAGGATGAAACGACCGCAGCCGCACCCGCCGCCGCCTGCAGCCACTTTACACGGAAAAACAAAAGGTTTCGTGCTCCAGCTTCCGCCCCAACAGTAGTCCCACTCAAGATTCATGCAGTGCAGCCATTGCAATGCGATTTGTGCAACCTGCGACGCAAAGAACTACGCACACATGAACAACCACACGTTGCAGAATACCCCTTCATCACCACTTCCCTAGGTCCACACTTCCATAAGTCCCCACACCACCCTGCATGGATGTATTGTGTTGTGATGTGAAGTATTTCAAATCTAAGTAACGACACTACCCTTCATGAATGTATTGTTTTGTGATGTAAGGTATCACACCACCCTTCATGAATGTATTGTTTTGTGATGTAATGTATCACGCCACCCTTCATGAATGTATTGTTTTGTGATTAAGGTATCACAATTTGATTTGTCCGTAAGTTGGAAGATTGCTTCCCAACTTCCTTTAACAAAGCACACTTTGTGACATTTGTGAACGCAGTTTGCAGAGAATTACCCATCTGACCCCTTCTTCCCACAACGTGAAAAATCACAGTCACGTCGGGGTCATCATCCATCATCGTTACATGTCTGGGAAGGAAAGGTAAGGACAGTGCCCATCCCATCGACGTGCCCATGATGTGTTCTGACGCAACCCATCGCCGCCTTTCAAGTGAACAATGTGCGCCGTGCTGGGCAAGAGCCCATCCTCCGTTGACTCCGCATCATTCCTGGGTGAGAGAGGCGTCCTGGTGGGTTGGAGGGGAATACAATGCATGCATGCACATATAGAGTATAATGTATACATATATATATATGTAAACACATATTATCATATGTCATTTAATGACTGTGTAAATGTATGTAATGCAATGCGATGCGCGCATGCGTGTGTAGTCACATTGCATCATTGCATCAACATGCGTCAGGCAATACAGATGTGCACAAGCATGCATAGATGCTACATACCTAAATGGTCCTATGCACACGCATATCTATAGATACAGGTATGTTGTTTTAAACCTATGTGTGTTTTGCCAATTAACAATATCGGTGTATGTGTTAGACCCTATGATCCTGGTTCTGGTGGTCAGCGCTGGTGCTGACAAGCATCAAGTATTGGCTGGGTAAGCCTTAGGCACCGATGGACTCACATGACCAATCGGGTAATTCAATGTTGGATGATATATGGAATGTACGGGATATCCTGGGGTACACGGGATATGTGGGATGTATCTATCTATCTATCTCTATCTATCTATCTATCTCTCTCTCTCTGCATACAAAAGGAGATATACGGGATATATGGACAAGCACCATGTCATTCCCATCGGGCATGATCACCCTCCAAATGCACCATAGCCACTTAGCCGCTTCTGAGGACGGAACCCAGCATGGCCACCTGGAACGGTTCGCCACCTTTTCGCAAGGACTCCAACCTCAGAACACCATCATAGGTTTCCGGTAATTCTCCCCCGCTTGCAAACTACTCCCTCACAGAAAGGTCAGTCTTGGATGTAATGTTAGTGGGCAGTTTGGATTAGCTTCATGGATTTGTCTGAAAATAGCGTGCCCCTAATTCCATTGCTTCATCATAATTCTCCTTATAAACCATCTTAAACGGTCATATTTTGGTGGCATAATCGGTTTCACACACACACACCATGATATTCTTGGTTCTACATCCCATGATGTCCATGATGTTCCCAGTCCATCCACATCAACTACCCATCATATGGTGGCTTAGATCATCCTAGATCCCCTGCTTTCCCCATGGTCCGCCCTTCCCACTGAGTGTACTTGTAGATCCGAGCAGCTCGATGGTTCTCCGTGAGCTGCAGCAGGCCGTGGCATTCTTCCTGATGGGATGAACACCCCATGAAAAGTGACATGGAATCAAAAAGAATCCTTGGACATGGATGGGGAAATGAAAACAATGGAAACCATGACTCACTGAGCTTGGAAATGGATGATGAAATGGATGTTGATGTCCGTGATTAGCATGGCACACACTGCGGTATATACTGAAGATTGGTTTGCTGCAAAGCCTCAACAACAAGCTTCGGTAATGTCCGATTGAAACCCTGAAAACTTAAAACAAGTTAAAACCTCTGTGTTTATATAGGTTTTCTTTCAATTGCCATGTATAACTGCCACATATAGATGTCCATTTAGTTCGGGGATTTCCCAGCCGGCCAAGGCTCATGATCTCCACTTCCCCCTGCGTCAACAGGAAGGCCAGAGCTGCTTGGGAGGGGCCTCCCAGAATTCTGTGACGCTCACTGGAAGCTAAGAGCACTGTGAAGGCAAATCTGGGATATAATTTGGGACACACACACACATATATATATATATGATTATATGATATGCATAAATAATTACATACATACATACATACATACATACATGCATACATGCATGCATGCATGCATACATACATACATACAGACACATACATACATTACATTACATTACATTACATTACATTACATTACATTACATTACATACATACATATATATATATATATATATTGAAGAACATGGATATATGATACGTGCCTATGTAACCAACTTGATATTATTCAACCCTGGTTAAGGTATGTGAATCATGTCTCCCTGCGCAGCTGGTACATTGCCCCACCTTTGAATTCCTCCAGAAGATCTCGCCAACCTGCAGCCAAGCAAAGAAACAAATTTAAACAAAATTGGAGAACAGACTGACTGCCGGGTCTGCTTAGTGTTGATCACATGTCTGCAAAATCGTCACGATAGTTGCATTATGGGGAACTACCTACACCCTTCCAGCACACAACAAACATGAAAGCCGGATGATGTTTCATTCGGACATATTCCAAGCATTGATGTGCCTTGCGCATCAGCCTTTTTCAGCTCTGTTCACTGCAGCTCGGACATTGGCAGGTCTGCTGGTGCACCTGAACTGCTGGCAGTGGAGAAATTGTTCCACTGCCACGGCGCCCACGGCTCGGTCCAGGCAACCCCCGAGCCCACACCACTGAGTTCCAGCATCGGAGGGCCCTGTGCTGGTGGTGCCGGTGGCATGGCTTGAGGAAGCTGACCATGTGGCAGATCAGCTGCAAGCTGCCAACCCAACATCTGTTGCATCCAAGCCGGGCTTGCACCATGTGCATATGCTGGATAGAAAGCTTCCTGATGTCGCAATTGGTCGTTGCGCACTGCTCGAGTGACATCCTCCCCGAAAGCATCATCTGCGGCGATCTCCTGAAAGAGTGCCTGTTCTGCCTCAGACATTACGTCAATGGAGGCATCATGAGCATTTTTCTTCTGCCTGGCCCTCTTCGTCATCTCATTGACGTTACAGATGCGTTGGAGTAAAGTCCGCATTTCACCTGGGCAGCGTTCAAAAACTGTTTGATTGATAGGGGTTCCCGTAGTCGATTGTGATAATTCCGTTAACAATCCCCAACATGTATAGTTTAATCAATACAAACCCCCCATCATAGTCTTTTTTGAGGCAATTTTTAACATTGTTCCTGATTCTTTCTCCTCAGCTTCTGACTCCACACTGATATCCTTTGTTTCTCCTTGAGTTGACCCAGCACTGTTTCCTTTCGGCTGATTCCAGAAATATGCAGGTGAGCCTTTGTTTGGACAGAAGAGGTGGAACAGGAAGGCAAGGAGGACAAGAGAGGGAAGACAAAAAACAGCAAAACCGGAAACACAATCATAGTCCTGAAATCTTGGTGACCTTCTGAAGCTTGTGAGCCTCAACTTTGCAGTAGTGCTGAACATCGAAACTTGAGGCTGGGAGCTGGGAGCTATTAACTTCAAATCGTGCCTGAAATGTTCTGAAGTTCAGAAAATCCAGGATGGCTTTAATGGTCAATTTCCTTCCTAAACCCCTGAAAAAAAATGCTGGAAATCAATCGCGCAAAGGGGGTAGCCCTGAAGTCCCCTGACATCAAAATAATAATGAATGTTTGCACACCCCTAAATAAAGTATCTGGATCTCAACGGTCCAAAATTTTGGTGGTGGAATTATTCTTTCTCAATTCCTTTCCTACTTGAACCCACCTTTAACCCCATGAACCAAATACTTTATTTAGAGGCCCCCCCTAAATAAAGTATTCTAAAAAACGTTCCCTGTGTTTTTTTGGTGCTACCCTTTCTAAAGCTCTTCCTGGAAGCTTGAATCCCCTGTGAGCTGGAAGCTATTAACTTCAAATCGTGCCTGAAATGTTTTGAAGTTCAGAAAATCCAGGATGGCTGAAATGGTCAATTTCCTTACTAAACCCCATAAAAAAAATGCTGGGAATCAATCGCGCAAAGGGGGTATAGCCCTAAAGTCCCCTGACATCAAAATAATAATGAATGTTTGCACACCCCTAAATAAAGTATCTGGATCTCAGGGGTCTAAAATTTTGGTGGTGGAATTATTCTTTCTCAATTCCTTTCCTACTTGAATCCACCTTTAACCCCATGAGCCAAATACTTTATTTAGAGGCCCCCCCTAAATAAAGTATTCTAACAAACGTTCCCTGTGTTTTTTTGGTGCTACCCTTTCTAAAGTTCTTCCTGGAAGCTTGAATCCCCTGTGAGCTGGAAGCTATTAACTTCAAATCGTGCTTGAAACGTTCTGAAGTTCAGAAAATCCAGGATGGCTGAAATGGTCAATTTCCTTACTAAACCCCTTTAAAAAAAATGTTGGAAATCAATCGCGCAAAGGGGGTAGCCCTGAAGTCCCCTGACATCAAAATAATAATGAATGTTTTGCACACCCCTAAAAAAAGTATCTGGATCTCAAGGGTCTAAAATTTTGGTGGTGGAACCATTCTTTCTCAATCCCTTTCCTACTTGAATCCACCTTTAACCCCATGAGCCAAATACTTTATTTAGAGCCCCCCCCTAAATGAAGTATTCTAAAAAACGTTCCCTGTGTTTTTTTTGGCGCACCCCTTTCTAAAGCTCTTTCTGGAAGCTTGAATCCCCTGTGAGTTCAGAAAATCCAGGATGGCTGAAATGGTCAATTTCCTTACTAAACCCCTTAAAAAAAATGCTGGGAATCAATCGGGCAGAGGGGGTATAGCCCTGAAGTCCCCTGACATCAAAATAATAATGAATGTTTGCACACCCCTAAATAAAGTATCTGGATCTCAGGGGTCTAAAATTTTGGTGGTGGAATTATTCTTTCTCAATTCCTCTCCTACTTGAACCCACCTTTAACCCCATGAACCAAATACTTTATTTAGAGGCCCCCCTAAATAAAGTATTCTAACAAACGTTCCCTGTGTTTTTTTGGTGCTACCCTTTCTGAAGCTCTTCCTGGAAGCTTGAATCCCCTGTGAGCTGGAAGCTATTAACTTCAAATCGTGCTTGAAACGTTCTGAAGTTCAGAAAATCCAGGATGGCTGAAATGGTCAATTTCCTTACTAAACCCCTGAAAAAAATGCTGGAAATCAATCGCGCAAAGGGGGTAGCCCTGAAGTCCCCTGACATCAAAATAATAATGAATGTTTTGCACATCCCTAAATAAAGTATCTGGATCTCAGGTGTCTAAAATTTTGGTGGTGGAATTTTTCTTGAGTCTTCAACCCCTAAATTAATTCCTTTAAAGTATATACTCTGAAGTATATTCTTGAGTCTTTGACCCCCACTTTACCGGAATCGCCATTGGTCCCTGAAACCATCTCATTTCTCTCTTCGCTTGTCTTAATCATAATCTTTGGCCTCTCCTGAAGCAAGGCAAGCTGGCTGGAACATGGTGCAGTGGAAAACTTGCTAAAACCTTTACTACAACCATGGCTTGCGAAGCTATTGCAGTGTGTTGTAGACCAAGAACATGACTCGTGCACGACATTGCACGACCGTGGCGCAAAGCAATCAATGCGATTAATTAACCACTGGCCCTTGAGCAAAGCAAGCTGGCTGGAACAGGTGCAGCAATGAACTGAGGGCGTACTGCAAGTTGAATCTGAGGGTTCAAATCCCGGAGCGCCAAGGAGGGAGTGGAAGGCGCTCCCTCCTTGACGCACCGGGATTTTTGTTAAAAAAGCCCGCACAGCTCAGTGGTTGAGTAGTAGGCCTTCAGTGCCGCAAGGCCTCTGGCTCAAGCCTTGGGGGCGGCGTGGTCGGCCTCCAAAGCCCACCTGCGGCCGCCCAGCCCCCTAGCCCGCCAGCGCCTCATAGCACTTGGATATAGGCACCCTGCCTTTTGGGGAGCTCCTCTTTGAAAATATGCAAACCCCGGAAGGACGAGGCGGGATTGACACATCAATCTACCCTCAGGTTCAACTTGCAGGGCGCCCATTTCCAAGTGCCTTCCAATGGTCCTGTTTGAAAATCTGCAAACACCGGAAGGAAAGAGTACCCTCAGCCGACCCTGTTGGCTGACGGCACCCGTTCCTTCCAGGATTTGAACCGGAGCGTCAAGGAGGGAACGCCTTCCGTTCCCCCCTTGGCGCTCCGGGATTTGAACCCTCAGGTTCAACTTGCAGGGCGCCCTCATATAGCCACTTGGATATAGGCACCCTGCCTTTTGGGAAGCTCTCTTTGAAACTATGCAAACCCGGAAGGAACGGGTACCAGCAGCCGACAGGGTCGGAAAATCTGCAAACCCCGGAAGCACCGGATCCCACCAGCCGTGGGGCTGATGGCATCCGGTGCTTCCGGGATTCGAACCCGAGAGTTCGTCTTGCAGGGCGCCCTCATAGCTACTTGGAAATGGCCACCCTGACAACCTGGAAGATCGCCAGGATTCGCCAGGGCTTTGCAAGGCTGTGTGCAGCGAGCTGTCCTTGCAAGCATGACATCTTTAATCGCAAAGAAAACCCTTTGAAGTGCTGGAACCACTTTTTACCTTGACCAAGTTCACTTATGTACTCGTGTCCTCCTGCCAGGGTGACCTCCTCGAAGGTGCTCCCCCTGCTCAGCGGGATCCGAGCCAAATGCTGCAGGATATGGAAGACTTAGTCACCCACTGAGCTATGCGGACTTTTGACCCTCTGGTCACGCTGTGTGTGAAATGCACACATCAGAGCACAATGAACACATCTCTTCAGGCAACACACATCTGTTTGGAACTACAGTGAGCACACAGCTCTGTAGAAGGACACACATGATGCTGCCAAGTCAAAAGGCAGTGTGTTCAACGCTTTCAAGCGACACTGACACCAGTCATCATGACGGCTGAAGCGGATCTCCGGTGCTTTTTTTCCCATCATACTGCACCTTAGCTTTTGCGCAACACTGCACGAAAAGACGCGTCTACCTCATCATCACCAATCACTGTATATAAGCACTGTTTTACCTCATCAAAAAGTTTCCCAGTAGCAGTCACTGCAGATTGCTTGGACTGCTGTCAGAGCTCCGCCGACCACACGGTTTCGATCCCCCAACGTCTTGCACGTCAGAGGTTGCTGGTAACTCTGAGCCAGTATGGCCACGGTGCCAATGATTTCTCTAAGCAATTTGCTGTGTCCATGCCTTTGGGTTTTTCCTTTCCCTTTACCAGCCTCCTGGCTATGTGGTAGATGCCAAAATTTGACCATTTTCCAAAAACCACCCATTCTCAAAAGGATAAGGACTTAGCCTTGGAAACTTAAAGGCTGGAGTTCAAATCCTAAAGGGTGGTGCGGCACTCAGCAGGGTGCACTGCTAAGCAGTGTTCACCCTACTGGGACCGCGCACCAAAGAGGAGACCACTTCTTTCTTGCCCGCACAGGATGATGTGTCCACTGCAAGCATGACATCTCAATCCCAGTGAAGGGCTTCAAAGCCAGTGTGTGCTTAGAACTGTAGCTCTTTTCCTTGCCCTTCACAGCACCATGTGTCCCTTGCCAAGCCTTTGAAACCAGTGTGTTTGGTAATACTCCGGTTGGAGGTGTTGAAAACACAGCTCTTCGAAGGAATTGGTCTCACCCATCGCAGCATCATGTGTACCTTGCAAAGCCCCCTTGAAAACAGTGTGTCTGGTATTAGTGTGGCCTGGAACTGTCGAGTACACAGCTCTTGAAACTTCGCAGCATCATGTGTCTCTTGCAAAGCCCGTGTGATTGGTAGTGGTGTGAAACTGTTGAAAACACAACTGCGGAAGCACACGAAGCTTGATCTTTCCCGGGTAGTCAAGCTTGACCCCCGGTACTCGAACCGAAAGAGCTGCAATGACCTGAAACCCTAATTACTTTACTTTCCAGACTCTACACTCCACACTCCACACTTAGCACGCCACCTTCTTCCATATTCCACAGTCTACGGTGCTCTGGTATGGTAGCAGGGGAAAAATGTACAGGACTGTTCAATAAACTGTCTCAGAAAATTGTTCTGCGTGACTGCATATCCATGTGTTTCGGCATCTGTACCATTAACATACGTGTGAGCATTCGGGTTCGTGGGCTGCATCTTGCTTGCCCTATGTCGATCAATGCTAAAGAGATCACTAATCTTCCTCATGCCATCTCATGCCCACCCTTATACGGAAGCCATGTTCATCTCATGTCATTTCATTGCTTTATCAAACGCTCATCTCATCTCGTCCCGTGGATAACCCATGATTGCTGATGGCTGCTGGATCATGCCCTGATGAATGGCTCACTCATGCCTGCTTGCTCCAGCAATCCCCTCTTGACAAATGCGCTGATAGAGGCTATCATGTCATGAGAGCTCATGATGCCCATCAACTCGGCATATGCTTCGGCATATGTCTCATATGCCCCTCCATCTCATTGCACTCCCTGATGATGCCCTCGAGCCATGCCCTCATGCCTTAGTTGGATGGCTTTCCCAAAAAAACATGCAATGAAATCCATGAGTATGCTTATGTATAATATACCAGTAGTACCGCACAAGGCGGTGGCGGAAGTTTCAAAAATAGGAAACCTATAGGAGAGGTTGGTTGTTGTGAATCAGGGATGGCAGAGCGAAGCCACTGATGGAGCGAAAGGTGATTGATCTCTCTCACTATTTCTCTCTCTTTCTCTGACTACCTACCTACCTACCTACCTACCTATCTATCTTTCTATCTATCTATCTATCTATCTATCTATCTCTCTCTTTCATCTAATTACCTATCTAATTACCTATCTATCTATCTATCTACCTATCTATCTATCTCTCTCTCTCTCTCCTTCATCTGTCTAGCTGTCTACCTGTCTATCTGTGGTGCAGTGTCATTGAGTGTAATGTAGTGTAGTGTAATGTAGTGAAGTGTAGTGGAAGGTAGTGTAGTGTAGTGTAGTGAAGTGTAGTGGAAGGTAGTGTAGTGTAATGTAGTGAAGTGCAGTGTAATGTAGTGTACTGTAATTTAGTGTAGTGTAATTTAGTGTAGTGGAGTGTAGTGGAGTGTAGTGGAGTGTAGTGGAGTGTAGTTGTAGTTGTAGTTGTAGTGTAGTGGGGTGTAGTGTAGTGTAATGTAGTGAAGTGTAGTGGAAGGTAGTGTAGTGTAGTGTAGTGTAATGTAGTGTAGTGGAAGGTAGTGTAATGTAGTGAAGTGTAGTGTAATTTAGTGTGGTGGGGTGTAGTGGAGTGCAGTTGTGTAGTTGTAGTTGTAGTTGTAGCTGTAGTGTAGTGGAGTGTAGTGTAGTGTAATGTAGTGAAGTGTTGTGGAAGGTAGTGTAGTGTAGTGTAGTGGAAGGTAGTGTAGTGTAGTGTAATGTAGTGGAGTGTAGTGTAATGTAATGTAGTGTAGTGTAGTGTAGTGTAATTTAGTGTAGTGGGGTGTAGTGGAGTGTAGTTGTGTAGTTGTAGTGTAGTGGGGTGTAGTGTAGTGGAGTGTAGTGAAGTGTAGTGGAAGGTAGTGTAGTGTAGCGTAATGTAGTATAGTGTAGTGTAATGTAGTGAAGTGTAGTGGAAAGTAGTGTAGTGTAGTGTAATGTAGTGGAGTGTAGTGTAGTGTAATGTAGTGTAGTGTAGTGTAATTTAGTGTAGTGGAGTGTAGTGGAGTGTAGTTGTGTAGTTGTAGTGTAGTGGAGTGTACTGAAGTGTAGTGGAGTGTACTGAAGTGTAGTGGAAGGTAGTGTAGTGTAGTGTAGTGTAATGTAGTGTAGTGTAGTGTAATTTAGTGTAGTGGAGTGTAGTGGAGTGTAGTGGAGTGTAGTTGTGTAGTTGTAGTTGTAGTGTAGTGGAGTGTAGTGTAATGTAGTGTAGTGGAGTGTAGCGTAGTGTAGTGGAGTGTAGTGTAATGTAAAGCGAAGCGACATCTGAACCTCCAAAAGTGGTCCGAACCCCTAGTGTTTTTAACATTTTGACTTCCAAATGTGCTTCGCGCCACAACGGCGTGCACTTTTTCGACATCTGAACCTCCAAAAGTGGTCCGAACCCCTGGTGATTTTAACATTTTGACTTCCAAATGTGCTTCGCGCCACAACGGCGTGCACTTTTTCGACATCTCAACTGCCAAAAGTGGTCCGCACCTGGTGTGTTTTGAACATTTTGACTTGGAAATGTGCTTCGCGCCACAACGGCGTGCACTTTTTCATCTTTCATCTGGCCAGCTGGCTCCGCACCCGCCGCTTTAGCGAGCCTACTTTTCGACCCTCCGGAGCCACAAACCATTGGAAAAACACAATGTTTCGCGACTTTCCTACCTTTTCACGCATCTGCATCTTCATTCTTCTTACTTTTCTTTCTTCTAATCTTTCTCTTCTCTCTGCCTCTTCCCTGCTCTGCTTTTCATCTGTCCATATTGTCGGAAGTTTGACTTCTAAACTTCCTTCGATAAACTTAATCATGGAATGATTTTTTCATTCCAAGATACCCAGTGGATGCTGATAGCTCTGGGGCTCATTCCACTCATTCTGACCGGGCTGCACCGGCATGAATAGCCCAACGCTTAGGAATCAAAAAAGAAATGCTAGTAAGAAACATGAAAGAAAATCCAATAGAACACTTAACCTCCCACCCAAACAAAGAAGTAAAATTTGAATAGAGACAAAGGCACTGAATGCCTGCCTGGATGCTGAAGCTGATCTCCTTCATGGCCTGGCCTGATGTCTTCTCACTGTCGTTCCTCTTGCTGAAGAGCTCGCCTTGGCCATTCATGCAAATAGGTCTCACGTTTCCCCATTAGAATTTCTCATGCCCCCTGATGTATTTCTCACTACTAATTCATGCCAAGTAGCTGCTGCTCATGCCTTTCATGCTCATCACCAGCATCTGATGCCAAAGCTTCATGAGCACCACAGTGCATGTCACGCTCCATGCTCCCCTGCAGGGTTTGAAACTAATGGCTTCCCATGCTAAATCTAGCGAACAAGTGATGGATTGAATGCTTTTCTCATGCTTAATCTTATGAAAAATCAATGGGTTGAATGTTTTTCTCATGCCAAATCTTATGAATCCCATTCCAAAACTCATGCTAATCAATTGAAGCCAAGTTGCTGGCCCAACTGATGGTGGCCATCCCTGATGATCTTTTCTCATAGGAATCTGATGACTATCGTTTATGGATGAATGAATGGGCACAGTATTTAGGGGTTTGGTTTTTGGATCCCGTGACTGGACCTTGTTGACCTTGTTTACCTGAGGGGGGGTTATTAATCCGGGGTCAACACTATACTTTCAAGGCTACTGTGGAGTTGCCCAAGCAGGACTGGGAACAACAGGTGCAAGAAAGCAAGAGAGAAAGAAAGCATCGGGCATGACTATGTTTCACTTGAATCGCTATGTGAATAAAAGTATCTAGCGCCACACTAGCGCAAATCTAGCGCTAAGCTGCAGGAAAGCGATTTCACTATATAGGACTCCGCCTTCTAAATACATCCTTGCCCAAGAATTTATGTCTCTCGGATTTAAAAGTTCCTTTCTGGAATTTTGAACGGATCTCAGACATAATCATACCATAAATATACCCTAATCCTTAATCAAATCCCAATCATACCCCACGAAGCTGATTCCACTCGATAGATTCCGACATGGAATTTACACATCGTGAACATTCGTGAACATTCGTGTTTCGGTCACTGCTCGCCTGAGAAGTCCTGATTGGCCACACAAAACCTCAGCTTCCTGGCCAGCTTTCCCCAGGAATCTCCTGCGATCAACTCCTGCATGAGCTTCTGTTCGATCTTGGTCCAAGTCTGCCTCAAATCATCCTGGACCGCTGCATCGTACCTGTTGAAGTTCGCTGGGTCTGGCTTGTTGTGGAGCCACATCTTGGATCCAAAGTTTCGCCACATCAACATCTCACGCAAGGCATCCTTGGCCCGCATCACATTGTTGAGATCCTCTTGGACCTTGCAATTTTGAGTCAATTTCGTCAAGAGCTCGAGGGCATAGGTCATGCGCTCCACAGCCTCCCTGGAACTTCGGTGACTGTGTTCTAGCAACTCTCGAGTGGATTCCAACCTCTCACCCAGCAGCTCCTCCACCTCTACCAGGGCACCCTCCAACTCCATGGCTGGATCAACATGTGGTCGAGATGGATTGATCGATTCAGGTGGGGGCTTCTCACTTTTGGCCACCCACTGATGCCGCTGCCCCGTGCGGTCGGCCTTCTCAGCCTTCCAATCCTTGGACTTCCAGGTGTCATGGCTTCTCCACTCGCCCCGGCCATACCTGGAATCTCCCCGCCATTCACCGGCCTTGGACCACTCAGGCCCCGAGCCTTTCCAGTCACCTTTGCTCTTCGACTGGGGGTCTCCCAGACCTTTCCAGTCATCTTTCCTTCGTCCAGTCCATGCCGAACCTTTCTGGTCTGCCCAAGCATCGGCGGATCCCTTTTCCCGCCACTCTGCGGTACCAGAGGTCTCTTGCCACCATTGCGAGGATCGCTTGCTGTACCACGACATGGCGGAACCCAGGAGTGGCGACTAAGTGCTCTGAATTTTGGCAAGCTTTGGTGCGTGTCTTGTGGATCAATGATGATTGATAGGTGTTTTTTCCCATGCTACTTGCGACCTGTACAGAATATGTTGTTTTTCTTTTTGCTAGGCCCCTGCATGCTTCAAAGGCTGGGAGCTTCTCTTGAGCAATGCGATATCCAAAGCGGAACTGCTTGACTGTAACTGAGCTCTGTTTTCAAGAGGAATGTTAACCTCACATTTTTCTTGAAGGAAACTCGACAAACTCCACATGCACCATGACAGCCATGTCATCCACTTCTGCCCTGGTGCAGCCTAGTTACGTTGTCCGAGCTGATCCTCATTCTCCTTGTGGAAGAGGGTCACTTCGGTCAAGCTTTTCTTGGCCGCTGGATGGAACACGATAGAGCAGTGGGCTGGTTTCTGCTTGCAACCAAGTAAATCATGCCTAAAGAGGTGACATGAAGAGTGGATTTTAATGGTTCTATATTTATCTGTATAACTGAATTGAGATGGTAACATGCGAATAATGTACACTACATTTCGATACATTGCATATTCACATCACATCTGAGATGAGGGCTCTAATTGATCGTATCCGACCCCCTACATGGCCTCACATATCTTTAGTGTTTGCACAGCGCCGTCGGTGTTGTCCTCTGGCGAATGGATTTCAATATATTTCAATGGACAAGGGAGAAAGCATGAGACAGTTCATTATTCAGTTGCGTTCCTAGATTGGAAAGACATGCCCACAGAAGGATATGAACAAAAGAACAAAGTCTTGCGTGCCCCAGTGTCCCAAGTTGCAAACCATTGGATCGCATCGATGCTGTTTCGCATGATCAGCAGACCCCCTTGCAAACGCACGTAGCCTTTCCTTGAGATAGCTGGAAAGAAAACCCAAACTGAACCTGTCTCAGTAACCTCCAGAATGGCATGACGTGGCATGCAGAAATCGTGTTGAACGCATACGCAGACTTCCTACAAGGTCCCAACATGTTCCAACTCAGCTTGAGGATCCACGAATCCACTTATTGAGAAGCCCTCTACAGAACGACAGAAGAATCCGCTTGCAATCCAGGTTCTTTGTGAATGCCACCTCATCAGTAGATCCCCAGGGCACCCTTCGGGTTCCATCGTAGTAGGAGAAGGCAATGTCTACTTGCAGCCTGAGCGGCTGCCAAGTTGACCCATGTTGACCTATCCCCGGGTCCAAAATCTGTCAGACCGCCGGAGTGGATGAAATTTCCGTGCCGGGCCACTGCTGCAAGAGCTCGAGAATATGCATGAAGGGTTTCACCTCAGCTGTGTACCCTTCGGATATATATTCCATGTGGCTGGACACAACTGGAAAATCTCAACTTTGAGTGGGAAAATAATTATTGGATAATCATCAAGCTAAAGGGATGATTTTCTATTGCCGGGCTAAACGGGTGGTAAATTGCCGGAATGGAGGATGTTATGAAGGGATTGGAAGATTCCTTGGCTTCTGATTTGCTCCCATTTTCCCGTGGCTGCTGCGGCTGTGGGCCCATCATAGAAGATCAATAACCTAATGATAATGAGAATGCTTAATCATCAGAAGAATCATGTGATACAGCCGTGCTTACGCCAAATCTGTCCGAATTATGCCCGATATGTCCATCTGATGCTCAAAATTAAGTTCCAAACATAATGAAAACCGCAGCTACAAACATGCAGAAATATGACATCTAACAACAACACTGATTAAAATGATACTTTTTCTGATGTCATGATACAGGGTAGAAGTGAAAGTCATCCCTCACTGTCCCTTTTGGGTTTTCCCCATTGTCAACGCTGTTTCCAAGAAGTCATCCCTAAGTCATCCCTTTGATGGTTTCCCCCATGTGACCGCTAGATTTACTGAATGTTTTTTTATCAACTACGATATTGAAATTGTAGAAATTATTGCATTCTGCTGGTGGGCCGCTATTCTTTTGAATGCCAAAAGATATAGTAGAAAAATCACCTCTGCATGGCAACGCTGGGAAAACATCTCCTGGACTGGGCGAAGTCTATTAGTTACCAGCTGAATGGGACGTTCACCGGGTCACCAGCAACATATCTGAGTCCATGCAGATCACGAAGGCCACGTTTTTGTCCGGCAAGATCCGGGTCTGCCACAGCCAGACGTACCTCAAACCCCTGCCCGGATTGGGCCGGGGTGAGGATGGGGGCCACGGGGCTGCCCAAAACCGGGACATGCTCCGGAGATGTCCAGAGCACGTCCACTGCGGCCGATCAGTTCTTGTGGGATCAGGAGGGTTTAACATGGTTTAACATATCTGTGATATGTAGCCGTGAAAACATGAATGTCAGCACCAAACTGTTGGAATTTATCACCCCCCACTGGTGCAGCCCCCAAAAAAAAACGTCGAAAGACTTGGCCAATCATCAAAGCGATGGCAACAAATTGGGAGCAATTGGTAAGAAATTGAAACCAATAACACTTAATAACCACCTGCCAATCATGCCAATCATGCCAATCATGCCAATCATGCCAATCATGCCAATCATGCCAATCATACCATCCAGCACAGTATGTCAAATCAAACTCCGTGATTTGTACTCCAGCGAGCTGACCCTCTGATGCAGCAATCTGAGCCGAGAAGCTGCTGAAGTTTCAAGGACTGGTAGGTCAAGCGTCGATAATTCTCCCCTTCCGTTGGATCGTCATGGGAGCTCAGCTTCTCTTCGTGCTCCTCGGAGTTAGTTTTTGGGATTTCAAGGCCTGAATTTGCAGTGGAAATCCCCAGATGTGTACCTTAATTTACCAATGCCCAGAAAGAGCCATGCTTCACATCATAACCCTCAGCTCCTGGAATGGTGCAAACTCCACCCATGGCATCACCAAAGTCACGGCTTCCAAGGTTGAATCCTCTAGTCCTGATGACAAAGAAAGGGGAGGCCACAGGAGGACATCCAAATGTGTTTCAGGTGCCAAAAACGCAGGGGGCATAAGACTGACACATTCTTTTGGCATCTTCTACACTTAGGGCCAGTTATAGTAACCCATGTAGCCCCAAAAGGATTATATACTGAAAACAAACAACACACTGAAAACAAACATGGACCCTCGAACATCTAGTTCGGGATAAACCTATTGTTTAATGCGAATTGCAGTTTTTGGGTTTACGTGACATTTTGAGTAGACATTCGGTTCTTCACTTCTCCCATGCCGTGATGTTACAGTAACCCCCCCTTGCTTTTGGAGGGTAAGCCATCTTTTCCTCCACCAGATATGGTGGACTCCTGCCGTCGCTACAAGGGCTCGCACCCACTGGGCGTCCACAGACTCACGAAAAACCTGCAAAACGGCCCAACACTCGCATCAACCTCGTTTAAACAAATGGGTCGGGAAAAGTCGAAGAAAAAATGTGCTTTGTTTTTGGTTTATATAATCCAGCTGTTTGGAATCTGTCTTTTAAGATTTTGCACGGTTAGACTTAAGGATACTTAGGGTATCTAGTTGTTTTTCATGTTTGTATTATTTTGGATTTATTGATTTATTCAAACCCCATCTGGAAAATGCCAACATGTCAATTGGACTTTCCCACCCCACCCCACCGTGTGACCGTGTCGGCGCCTCCGCTATGCTGGAGAACAGGGGGCCACAGTAAGTCCAAAAGTAGTGGTCCTGGCTGCATAGCGCGTAGAGTTGGTTACAACTCAACTGCTGGTTGGTTCACCAGTGTCTGTTGTTTTTGTTTAACTTGTTAACCCACCAGGCATGTTTACCTCTTGATCCCACATTCTTCCTCAATTGGATTGCTGTCTGCCTGGCGATTTAAACCATGTTTGACCCTGCCAACCCTTGACACACGACCCAGTTCTTATAGTTTTTCTCATGTTTCCCATGTTGGACCCCAAATTTTGACTGCCTAAGACATCTTCAACCCCACCCAAGTTGGATATGATGTCCAGCCACCCCAGCTGCCCAAAGGCTCCTCCATGCACGACGTAAGGATCACCATCCGATGCCTCGTCGCCGCCCCATTGGCCGCTGCCAGCGACAGAGGCGCCCGCAGCGCGGGCGGTAGCTGCTGTGCCAGCTGGGCGCGGCGCAGGGCTGGCAGAGCTTGGAGCAATTCCTGTGGTGGGACCCCAGTTTTAATGGAATGATATAAGTTATAAGGGAAAATCATGGAAAATCGATACTCAGCTGTGCCCGGCTGAAACATGAATCACGAAACACAACCAGCGAACGCCAATCAATATAGTCCGTTGGTACATATTCGCTGCAACATGTTAGAATACAATAAAACATAACAAAAAACATAGCATACAAAACGCCACCTGGACGCAACATCGCATCGACTTCCCATAATTAGGTTCCCCCACCTAGGACGCATTGTTTTTGAAAACGCTTCGACTTCCACACTGGGGAGTAAAGGATTATTTGAAGAGCTCGGTTTGGAATAGTATTTCCCATAATTATCCATCATTGGTGCCAGATATGTGCCAGATATGTGCGGTGCGGGGGGCTCCCCTCTTTTTTCGTCCACGCCACTGACGCCACTGAGTCCTGATAGTCTTCACTCGCAGCCGCCATCAGAACTTCCAGAGGTCTATGGACCACCGCGGTCACCGGAGCCCTGTTGGGTGCGTTGGGTTCTTGACATCGGTGGCTGCATGAGGACAACACCACCGTGCCGCTCTCGTTCCGCGCTTCCGCGACTGCCAGGTGCCAAAGGGCGCTGCGGGCAGCGACTGCGGCTGCATCACCTCAGGATGACAAAAGCTGGGCCTTCAGGTTCCATTGCTAGACCCTGTTCCCACGCCTATCATGGCTGGTGAAAGTTCGAATATTTTCCGGAAATGTCTGGATCGACTCACCGAACACAAATCAACATGCCCACTTGGGGAAAAAAATGAGTTGGATTTTGGAACCATTTGCAGCCCACGTTACCCATTGGTTGTTCAGGGGCCATGAGCCTTCTCACATCAACCAGCAAGGTGGGAAAAGGACACCAAAATCAACCTCACTGGGTTGGGGGATGGGTTTCTGGATGTTTCTAGTGAACATCCGTTTCATTCCGTTTCAATAGATATATGTTTTCTCGTTGGTTAAAGATGGTTAAAGATGGTTAAAGATGGTTAAAGATGGTTAAAGATGCCCCTCTCTTGGCCAGTTTTGGTGGGGCTCAACTCGACATAACTCGACCATCTCGTCACTGTCCAGGTCGTCTTCGCCCACGAGGTTTCGATCGGCGGAGAAGCCACGCTTGACGCCCTGGACGAAGGGGAAATGCTCGCGGGTCCTGGGGTCGAAGCGCCACGGAAATGGCGCTTGAAAAACGATGGGACAAGAAGACCCACCCTGAACACCAAAATAAGTAGCAAACGATGCAAATGGCTGTTCATCCTACCAAAATCTCCCAAATATCTCCAAATTTGGGAGGTTGTGATACTTAAATTGCCTTAAATCAAAACATGAGGCCAGTCTTCAATAAATAGACATAAATAGTCTTGAATGATCGGATTCCGTCGGGGCAAATCAGCATCATTCAACCGCACCTGAAAAACCTGAAGATCAAGGACGATAAAGTTATTTGACTGAAATTTTGTCAGGCAAAGCATCACTTTTGGTTGGTTGTTGGAAGTCTGTATCATTTGTCTACATGGATGATGACAAATGTCGGCAGGTACGTGACAGCTGATCTCAGCATACCTCAGCGTATCTCAACTGCTGAGCCCTGAGTCGAGTGTCAAGAAATTGTGGATCGGCGCCTTGTACAAGGAGTTCTTGGTTTCCTGAGTGCCGACTCAGCCATAAAAACAAAGGGGTCGTGCATTCTACAGGGAGCATGAATTCACATAATTCACCCAATTTTCCTGTACGAAAAAAGATGCCATAATCCAATGAATTTCTAGTGACTAGAACCCCGAGCCCTCCATGCCAAATGACTCAGCCCGGGGTAATTTCTTGAACTCAATCTATAAATCAAACGGTAGAGGACCGCCTTTTGCACATCCAGAATGCATGTGTTTCAGGCACCTTTTGATTCTGTAATGAACCATCAGCGCCCGTAAACATTGCTGGCTGGGACATCCCAATGTTTACCGGGGAAACCCATGCTTCAATTGGGAATGCCCATGAGCCAGGTCAGATTACCACAGACCCATCAGCCATCAGCCGCTTCCCATACAGCCCGGAGTCAGCGCTCAACCAGAGGAACTCTTGCACCAAGCCCCGGTCGAGGAAGGGATATCTGGTCTCCACCCCATGGGCTCCAGCGGTGCTCTCCTCTTTTGCCAGGTAGTCCTCGAATGGATCAGCTACTGGAGATGAAACGTTTTTTGTGGTGCCTTTTTTTTGGGGGCCCTCCCAAATTCAAAACAGCCCATGTTTGTATTGAATGTTGTCTTAGAGAACTCCACCCCTGACCCATATTGCCATATTCTAACTTCCTATGATTGCTCTGATTCCCAGTATTCTTGGACATAGTAAAGACACCAAAAAGGCCCTGACAACCACCAACTCAGCCAGGCCTGCTGAGTACCCTGAAAAAAGTTGAGCCAAGGAAAGACCGACGACAGATCATCAGGAAACACGCCCATCAAGGTGCTATGAAATTCCTCAGTGCCACTGCCAGCAGCAGGTGAGGCAGGAAAACCGGAAAACCACACTGACCCCGACTGACCCCGACTGACCCCGACTGACTCCTCAAGATGCGGACAGTCCTTCCGAATTGTGACTTTATATGTGCACCTTTGAAAAAAGCACCAGAGGGGTGAACAAAAAAACGATTTATGTTTTTTTTTGGAAAGATCTGAACATAAATTCCGTAGTCAGCTTTTCAGCCTTTAGGTTGAGGTCAAAGTTAAAGCACTTTTGGCACATCTGTCAAATGAGATCATCATCCAATGATCCAATGTGTGGCTGATAATAACATATAATAACAAACCCTTGATAACACCATTCAGATATTGCAAAATCATATGTGCAGTGGCCAAAACAGGGTATGGCTTGTGGTCATCCCACCATCATTAGATCATTAGGAATTCCTGATAATGGCTACATTAACCGCAATCCCGATTAATGGATTGATGACCATCCTCGAACATGGGTATGAATCCAACTTTTGACAGGTGGCACATGATAAAATGTTATATAAATCATATAAAAGCTAGATCCACAAAATACTCAGTGTGATCCAAGAGTCAAAGGGCACGCCTTTGCTTCCATAATCCGAGACGATTTCATCTGCACCACTGCCAGACAGAAACATCCGCTGCCCAGACATAGATGCCTGGCGATAAATCCAGGATAAGCCTGCCGCGGCCTTGTCATCAACCTTAGCAGAGTTTCCGGAAGCCACGGCAGACCCTAAAATTGATCATAGCCCAACAGATTCCAATTGTGAAATGACATAAAATATCATAAAATAGTGGGTTCTGAATCTGATCTGCTGCAACTTCACATGCTCAAGCTTCACCCTTGGGCAAAAGATTCGATCCAACATGATCCAACACAAATGCTTCTGCGTGACCTTCTAGCAGATTCACGTTCCATGAAACTGCACGAACCAAGACCAACAGTTTTGCAGAAAAACGGCAAGCAATGGATTGGTTATTTATAAGAAAAAATGGAAACCATGGTTTTCACCAAACAAGGGTAAATCTTCCAATCATCCAAGTCTGGAAAACAATTTTTTCGGATTAAACATGGCCCTGTGACGTTGGCATAGCCCGGTCTCAGCTGGTAGAACACCTTCTCAGCATTCTCACCTGAGTCCAAAAAGGGCTATGGCCAACGGGTTTCGGGAAATGTGCGAATAAATGTGTGAACATATGCGAAGCAAACTCAGTTGTTGTTTATGTGTATATATTATACTACATTTCATGTGTATATATATATACCTATATCATGTACTGTAAATAAATATTGTGTATACATCTCTCTCTCTCTCTCTCTCTCTTGTTCGTCCTACGACATGATCTTCCGTGCTCTTCCACAGGGCCATAGGTGTGGGCTCTGACAATCCCGCCCTTTATGCACCAAGGATGTTCATGGCCCTCAATGTCCGCAGCTAACGACCCATCCAACTTTCAAAGCTGGATGGTTTTCTCAAGGATGCACGGATAGCCCTGAAGTAGAAATAGATATCTGACCCTCACAAGCAACATGGCAAAACCATCCCCATAGAGTCCTAAAGCATATCCCGTTAGACCCTTGTAACCGAGTGGCGAAGAAACTTCTTCTCGCTGTGGAATTGGTCACCTTGATGGCAACCATTCACCATGTGAAGGCAATGGTTCACATAACAAGTCAAATCACAGGCCACAAGCTTTGCCTTTTGGATATGGGGATAGTCGATGATAGTCGGATAGTCCATGATAGTCCAATGCTTGGAGCTCAGCCAATGCTGATCCAACGCAACACTTCTGTGTGGATCTTCCCGTCATCCTCCATCTTAAGGATTCCAAACGGATGCCACGGATGTTTGTCACTGACATGGGTAATTTCCGGAGAAAAAAAAAAGTTTCTATTACAACTTGGCTGGAAAAGTTCTCCTGCATCCCCTTGAACTTGAACAGTGCCAGATGCATCCAATTAGCTTGACAGGTGCGTCAACTTCCACGTGGCCTTCATGTTTCGTCGCTTCATCTCCGTAAGCCTTGCCAGCAGCACCCGCACATCCTTGGGAATCAACTGCCATTCTCCATCATTCATAATCACTACAGTGTATCATTAAAATCATCATTAAAAGGGGTGATTCATGGTGATTCATGGTGATTCATGGTGATTCATGGTGATTCATGGTGATTCATGGTGATTCATGGTGATTCTGGACGCTTCCGGTCTGTGCTGAGTGACTTCTCTGGCTTGCACGGTGTACATGGCCGGCTCTATGCCCAGTCGTCCCAAGGACACGGCGATCGCTCCACTGTCGTAGCCGTCGCTCAAACACATGGCCGGCGTGGCACGGCCGGGAGCGAAACGAGGAGAAGCCGCACGCTTCTGGATGGCCTCCCATCGGTGGTTGAAACGGTTGAAACGTACCCTCTGGTAATTTAACATAGCTATTGAAAATGGCCATTTATAGTGGATTTACCCATTAAAAATGGTGATTTTCCATAGCTATGTTAAATTACCAGAGGGTACTGTCTTCAAGCCATTGAAACATACCAGTCACTTGAGATCATAGAATTCATAGATCATCCCCTCAAAATCCTCAAATATATAAGGACTGAAAAAAGAATGAAACCAGCAAATACTGTGAAGGTTGTTGTCGACCTCTGTTAGAAGGGCGAATCTTGATTATTGATGATCTTGATGCTCAGAATGGCACGTTGTCAGATGTTCTCAGTGGTTGGAGGGAACGTCTATGGAGTAACTCTTAAAAGAAAGAATGTGTTTGGATCCTTATGGGTCAATCACTTAAGGCCACTAGCTATATAATAATCCAATGGACTTTCCCACATCTTGACTGTCTTTGTCATCCATCAGCTATATTATTTGCAACATGGTCAACCTATGCCTATCAAACCTGGAGGATGTTCCAGCTGGCAGTGATACTAACATCAACAACTGTCGACTGGAGTATGTAATCAACCGCCAAACCCTTGGAGAAGAGTGATCAGTGGCTGTGGTTATGGCGATGATGACGATGATGATGACGACGACGACGACGATGATGATGATAAAAATGAAGACAAGGATGAAAATGAAAACAAGGTAGGCGGTTGATACGGCGCCCTGTGAGGGGTTGCCGATTTTAATTTTAAGATTTTCACGTCAAAAGCTGGAAACGTGGTATTTGTGGGACTTTGTAAAAGGACATTTCAAAGTCATGATCATTTTTCGATGGCAGGCGCATGACTCCAAAGTGGAAATTGGTGTTTCGCCTCAACGAAATACTAATTTTAGTCATCAGGGGCGAGAAAAAAAACATTTGATTTTTGAGGTTTTCATTTGGTGTGATTTGAAAATGTGCGTTTCGCCTCAACGAAACGCTCATTTTTGACATCCGGATGTCCCAAAAAAAATGGAAAAAATTCCGTTTTTTTTTGGAGCCTGTATAATGTGAACAACTTGCGGACAGCATCTTTTTCACTCAACGCCACAAGGTGTCGCTCAAAGTCTTTAAATTCAGCATGTTTTCACACTTGGCGTTGTGTCTCCACATATAGGAGTACGCCCATTTGAACCTCATTGGATTCACTCCTGACTGCAATTTCTGTTGAAGGCTCTGAGGTCGCGTAGCATCATATATGTGAGGCAGTGCAGGACGATATTATAGCAGCGTAGCATCATATATGTGAGGAAGCGCAGGACGATATTACAGCAGCGTAGCATCATATATGTGAGGCAGTGCAGGACGATATTATAGCAGCGTAGCATCATATATGTGAGGAAGTGCAGGACGATATTACAGCAGCGTAGCATCATATATGTGAGGCAGTGCAAGACAATATTACAGCAGCGTAGCATCATATATGTGAGGAAGTGCAGGACGATATTACAGCAGCGTAGCATCATATATGTGAGGAAGTGCAGGACGATATTACAGCAGCGTAGCATCATATATGTGAGGCAGTGCAAGACGTGTTAGCAACGTGGTCAGCGTAGCAGTACATGTGCAACGCAAGTGCACATGGAAGTAGCGTAGCGTGGCGTGTTACATGTTACGCAAGCGTACATGACGTTAGCATGCCCCACCCCACCCCACCCCCGTGCAACGTGCAGACGTGTTAGCAACGTGGTCGGCGTAGCAGTACATGTGCAACGCAAGTGCACATGGACGTAGCGTAGCGTGGCGTGTTACATGTTACGCAAGCGTTCATGACGTTAGCATGCCCCACCCCACCCCACCCCACCCCCGTGCAGCCGGTTGATACGACGCCTAAAACATTGCACATACGAAAAATATGGGGATATCAAAATTCAACACACCCTCACAGGGCGCCGTATCAACCGCCTGCCGAAAACAACCATAAATATATAAGTAAGTATGAATATGATTCCCTTACACTTTTTTCAACCTTGCCGGCCTTCAAAAGTGCCTTTTGCCAATCTTCAGTGTGCGTCTTGTGCTGCCTGAGATCAAATTCGAAAACGGCACGTTGATGAAGGACCTGAGCATCACCCGAAAGTTTGAAGCCAACCCAGCAACTGTGGATGGTTGCGAAATCCTGCACCAGTTGGTAGTTTATCCCGTTATATTCTATTATTTATAGGGTTCTATACTAACAGATCATTTGTGTTTGCTACGCCCTGAAGTTCAAACATGTGCTTATTTTGTTGCACATTTTTCAAGGGGGATTGCCATCCTACGTGTCTGTTTGGCCACTGCTGCCTTGCTGTCTGTTGTCACAGTCTCCGGTGCGCAGCTTGCGCTTGCAATATCTCGCAATGTCCCATACGTTTTTGCCTGGAGGATCATTCGTCTTGGTAAGTGGTTAATCTCCCTGGTTAGTAAGTCCTCTAAGTGGCTTATTCATGCTTATTCCACTTATAAATGGTTCGTAACCTTAATCACACTACCCATTTACTAATCATGTACGAACGTCCTGAGAAAGAATTCATTGCCCCACATCGACGCAAGGACAGGTCACGGAAGGCGTTGCATCCGCAGACGGTGCCGTAGGTGGCTGGTCGTCTGCACTGGCGCCCGGAACTTGAAAGAGCAAAGCAGAGTTGGGCTCCACTCGAAGGATTTCCTTGCAAGGCTTGAGCAAAATGACTGAATAACCCTAGATGACACAACATGTACGACAAAATATATCAAATAAGTTGAGCATAGGATAGCACAACATAAGATTGGGTTAGATTGGATGGGGATGGTGCATAGAATAAGTTTGATTAGGCAACATTATATCGATATCTCACATTAGGTCACTATAATTGCATAGCATGTGTGCAATTGTGTGAATATTTGCATTGACCTATCCGCCTATCCATGGGCCCTACAGCAGGCGCATGTGGAAACCGGACGGAGGAGCAGAAGCAGCCTGGATTTGACTGAACGGGCCTAAATTGATGGTGCCCTATAGTGCCACAGAAAAACATAGAGAAAACACAAAACACCGAGAGATACCGAGAGCTGAGAGACACCTGAGAGCAATGATCACTGATGACGGTTATGATGCATGTAAGCACAAAGCTCTGTAAGTATACAGAATAGGGTATAGAAGACTAATAGACATATGTTTGATCATGCTGATATATGCTGATGCTTGCATATGTGATCATACGTGGATAAAGGGGCGTGCTTGGAAATGAGTCCGAGCAGGCTTTTTTTGAGTCCGAGAGTTTGCGGCTTCTCAAGAATGATCATGGCCTCCCTATGCACTTTTCCTCAATTTCCTGGCATCTCATCCATGACTTGAAAGATCTTGAAAGTTCCAAAGGCCAGCCTCAACCTGTACTTGCCCACATTTGCCCACAACAACTCCGAGACTCCTCATCATGAAAGCCTAGCCTTCGCAATGCAGATGCATACGATGAAAATGCAAAGGCACCAGCCGATGCAGCTGTGGTGGCCATGGCATACCAAAGTGGCTTCGTTCCAAATGGGTCCCGCGCCAGCACCAGCTGCTTCGCCTGAAAGTCAAAGAGGGCCACAGCAAATTCGCCATCCAAATGCCGCACAAAGTCCAGGCCATGGCCTTGGACGTGGCTTTGGTTAAGGGATCCAAAGGGTATATCACCCGTTTCTATCACTATCCATTCTGGTAAATTCTAGGCTGGTTTCTGCGGTCATTTACTTATTTGCAATCTTATTTGCCACAATCGTCTGCACCTCTGCTGTGATTTGATGGGCTTTCCACATCTTTACAGATCTTTACGGTATTTTACAGTAATCGTTCAACTCAAGAGTCGACATCTGCGTGAATGTCTCATCCCGACTTCACGTAGCTGGCAACGATCATTGTCTTCGGTGAAATCGACTGCAGTACAGCGGGGCTCGGCAGGGCTCGGAGGGGCTTCCCAAATTTGGAAACCGATTGCGGTTTATGCTTATTCTATCCCTTTAGACTCCAGTAATATCGAGTACTTTTAAGTGCATGTCACGGGACCCGAAACATGTTTTGTGCATTGGCTGGCCGCATCCCCGAAATGACGAGTGGCGCTTGTATTCACTAAGAATGGCATCACCATCACTGCGAAATCCACCAGGGTCCAGCTCTTCCCAGTTGTAAATCTCACCTGGGACCAGCTCTTGGTTCTCCAAGAGTTTTGGACGAACTAGAAAAAATTGTTTCCAATGGCCACTTGACTGTGATGATCAGGTGGCTAGGTGGCTGACAGTATCAGTATATATTATGCATGAGATATGCATGATGGACATTTCAGACCGGTGAATCTGCACAAACGTGGCCGTGGAGTGCTACCACAAAAATGGTCCCTCCATGCCTCCAAAAACAACGACAGTTGATGGTCTGCTGCAGGTCTGGAAACAAACTGTTTTTTGGGGATTCTTCATGGCAATGCCAATGCCTGGATGCATCCTGTGAGGTCTGTGGTATTCTGTGGTCGTGTCACCCACACCTCCCAGTTCCGCTAGAGTCGCCATTGAAAAGTGCCACCAGTTGTCGTTGAGAATCCACGAAAGGTTGCAAGACCTTCTCACCAGTCATGTGAAGTAAGTTGTGAACAAAATCGAAACCTCGGCTTCGCTCCCTGCACGCCACGGGAGAAGACTGGTATCTTAGTTCTACTATGTGATCTACTACTTTCTTGTTAAAATCCCGGCAGCGACGCTTTGAGAGTTGGGAGTGCCAAATCTGAGGCAAATCCACATGATAACCGGCGCCCTTCATATTTGAAACCCAAATTCGCATGTCTCAAAGCCTGATTAGGGACTCTGTGGACTTGATAGGACATAGCGGGGTCTGTTTTCCCCATGTGTCCCGGGGCCGCCATTAGTCACAAGCAACTGAGGTGTCATAGAGTGGATGTATCCCATCACAACCGAGCAAACAATTGGGCGTTGACCGGAACGACTATTCTCTTGCAAGGGAAGGTCCATTTCGAATGCTTTCAGACTTGAAAAGATCGATCCATCATCCCTCCAAGAAAGCACCCCGAAAATCACACCATAGATCCCCACATGGTGAAGTTTTGGGGTTTACCGATGCCCCATCAGCACACTATACTATACGTGCCAAGCGAAGCAAGTCGCCGTAGCCATGCCAGCGATTCGTTCCATCGGGACCGCGCGGCTCCAGAAAAAAATTGGCATAGACCAGGTTGCCAATCACCCAATTCGCCACCAAAAAGCTGCCTCAAAATGAGGACTCGAAAAAAGTCTGGCACGAAATGGCTGGAAAATGGATGGAAAATGGATGCGCGAAATGAACTTGTAGAAATGCCTCTTAAAGAGCCCCAAACATTGAATATAAATCTATATAAATCTGATGTATTCTTGTGGGCACTTCCCTTCGAAACATTAAAGATGTAACATATTATTTGACAGAATTGAAATCACCGATTGGCCCGTTTTAGTTCGATGATTCTGATGTTTTATCATGTTTTATCTTTTTTAAATGGTGAGTTTTCATGGCCAATGGCAATGTTTTTCATTACCGGGTATACCGCCAGGGAACACATCCTGTGGGAAAATCCGCTGTCTGACCCGCGAGGCCATCGCTCGCAAGGCGGTGCCGTGCCGCTTCGCTACAGGTGCAGGATGAATGCCACGCCCCCGGGAGAGGATTTATGTGTTGTATATATATATATATCTGTGTGTGTGTGTATCTATATAGATACATGCGTGTGTGTGCATGTAACATGTATGGAAAACATGTCATAGATATAATCACAGGGATTGATGTGCACATTATAGGGATTTTGTACGATTTAATGGAATATATGGAGGTAGTTGTAGGAATGTTTCGTACCAATTAGATGTATATTTGTTTAAGGGGTAGAACCACCAAAATGCCACGAAATAAATGTGCACAATCCCTTTCCCATCATATTAGATACCATCTGAGAAACCTTAGTGTGGATGTGTTCATTTTTTTGTTCCAATTTAGGAGTATTTGAATTTGAATGTGTGAATTAACAGAAGGGATTACAATACTCTCCCCATCTCTCCCCCACCAGACTTGGACTCTACACATGTTGAGGCAAGCCAGAGAGTAGGTAGCGAGGCACTGAAATTGATGACATGTGGGAGGAAAACTTTGAAAGTCCAGTCAAAAGTGGCAAGCCAATCATGCAACTGCTGGAATGAAGCTCTCTGTATATCGGTTGTTGTCTATGTACCCCTTTGATTTCGAACATGACGTTGGTATTAGGTCCTTATGTATTGTGAAACATTGGTTTGAGCACCCTTTTGCTCTGATGCTAGCACTGCAAAGCCAAACTACAGTGTCTCGCCTAAAATGCCTCCAATTGCCGCCTATCAATCAATGAATCAGTTAATCAATGATGAATCAATGAATCAATTGTACAAGGAATGAATCAACTAATCATTCAATAAACGTAATAAACCCCTTGTACCTCTGCCAGTCATTTCTTCAATTGCTTGGGCCACCCCCATATCCACATAAAATCATATAATTATTATTGAAATCACATAAAATCAGAGTGGTGAACACCCTTGCCTGCAAAAGTGGCATAGTATTGGCCCACTTAGCAGGCTCGAAACAGGTCTCCGTCCGGGAAGGACACTGTCTAAGAATTCCAAAAACACCTTTTGGATCCTTTTGGGACATCTTGGAAACCGTTTCCGGAAGTCGCTTCTTTTGCTACTTGCAAGGGCACGATCCACGCAAGTCTTTAGTCTTGCTCGGTATTTGGATGTGAGTTTGTTGTCCTTTCCATCCATCCAGTTCTCCAGCGGAGAATCGAGGTTCGACGGGAAAATCACGCAGTTCATGTTCATGTACCTGAAGCATGAACATAATACCCTCTGGTAATCTAACATAGCTATTGAAAATTGCCATTTATAGTGGATTTACCCATTGAAAATGGTGATTTTCCATAGTTATGTTAGTTTACCAGAGGGTAATATTCATCAATGTAGGACCGGGCAGAATCTTTAGCTGTATCTCTTTAGCTGAAAAAGACACTGAGTTTGAGAACCACTCTGGCTGGGGCACAAGAAACTCTTGTCACAAGGTCACCCAAAGATGGACCCAAAGCACCAAGCCAAGTAGCGCAGGCACCATAGAAAATGAGCTCTGAGACATGATGAGTATATCTGCTCGAGCCATATGAGCCCACGCCTTCAACATGTCTTTATTGTTGTCAATCTTTTTATCCAAGTGAACCGTCATATTTCGCTGGCGGTAGCCATCGTAATCTTTGGAGCTCCAGAAGTCATAGTCGTAGGCCGGGATATTTTTGGGTGAACTCCAAACATGGAAATCCAGCGTCTCCCCAGGAAGCAGCTTCTGTAGATCCTGGCCGGTCATTGCTATGGCAAGCGAATGGCAAACGAAGCGCTGCAACCAAGTGTTGGATGGAAGGAATGTCTTGTGAGACCAACTTCTACAAGTCTGTTGCATGGGGGTCATGTTGCCAGAAAATGCTTCACAGTAAATTGCATGCACCCCCAGGATGGGTTCCAAAGAAAGTCATGCCAATTCAAATCCCTTGCAGAGCCGATCATTTTTCTCCCAGAAACTCAAGGAACTGACGCTTGCACGACAATTGTTTGGTGACTTCAACGGCCCGATTTAATGTCAACCTGGATGTTTAAACCTTGGTTGATTCGTTTGAAAGGGTTACCCTGAAAGATTCAACGGGTATCTATTACAGTATATGTATCTGACATTATATCCAACTATTATGATACATCTCTATCTATATACATTTCTATCTATCTATCTATCTTTCTATCTATCTATCTATTTATCTATCTATCTATCTATCTATCTATCTATCTAATTATCTATCTATCTATCTATCTATCTATCTATCTATCTATCTATCTATAAATATCGATCTAATGATCTATCTATCTACTTATTTATTTATCTAATTATCTATCTATCTATCTAATTATCTATCTATCTATCTATCTATCTATCTATTTATCTATCTATCTATCTATCTATCTATCTATCTATCTATTCTATCTATCTATATCTATCTATATCTATCTATATCTATCTATATCTATCTATATCTATCTATATCTATCTATATCTATCTATATCTATCTATATCTATCTATATCTATCTATATCTCTCTATCTCTATCTATCTATTATACATAACCCGAAACTAGACTTGATTCAGCAGCATCCAAGCTTCTTCTGCTAGGCGATAGTAGTAGCTATCCGCTGTGGCCCTGGTGTCGTCGCGTTGCAGGTCCGAACGACGCAAGTGGATCACCACAGACACCTTCCCCGGCGCGAAGACCAGCGGCAGCGCATCCAGGTGCCGTCGGAACTCCTCGCGCAACCAGCTGGGGAAGTAGAGATCCCGTTTGACGCTGCCATCGTAGCCCCTGAGCACTGCAATGCTGCTGGATGTGCTGGGCAACGAAATTGGAAATGGCAACGGCCAAAATCCACGGAAGCTAGGGGCAGGATGGCATCTTGAACATATTAATTATACGTTTATGTCGTTCTCTGATGCTCTCTGAAAGGTAGTAAGCAGCATCAGCACCCAGCACTACCCGGGTGCTTCCAAATTGTTTTTTTGGCTCGCACAGAGCATGACATGCATGACAAAGGATGAAAAACTTTGAAAAGACATGTCCAACCCTCAAAATCAAACACCTCCAGCCTCCAGCCATTCCCATTGGCTCTCCCCAACCGGATTTCCAGGTTCCATAGCTTCCCAACCACAAAATAGTCTAAATATGCCTATACACTATTAAGCTCATTAAGCCCTACAAACTGCAAACATATTAAACCCCACAAATATAGCCGTTCCATGCCCGAGGTGCCACTCATTCACCGCCTTCACATAGAGAGAAGTTTCAGGTTTCACGGTTCCAGCTGCCACAGCTGCCTGCAATTCCTGTCAGAGGACTGGGATTGGATGGACTGGTGTGGATGAGTTTGGATTAAATATGTACTCTCAGCCTGTATGTATGTGTATATGGGTACATGTATGTATGTGTGTGTGCATGCGTGTATATGTGTACATGTATGTATGTGTGTGCATGTGTGTATATGTGTACATGTATGTATGTGTTGTGTTGTGTTCTGTTCTGTTGTGTTGTATTGTGTTGTATTGTGTTGTGTTGTGTTGAGTTGTGTTGTGTTGTCTTGTCTTGTGTTGTATTTGTATTTGTATTTGTATTTGTATTTGTATTGTATTGTATTGTATTGTATTGCGTATTTGTATTGCAATGTAATATTGTGTTATGTTGTGTATGTGTGCATATGTGTCTGTGTGTGTGATGTGTCTGTGTGTGTAATGTGTGTGTAATGTGTGTGTAATGTGTGTAATGTGTGTATGTAATGTGTGTGTGTAATGTGTGTGTGTAATGTGTGTGTAATGTGTGTGTGTGTAATGTGTGTGTGTCTAATGTGTGTGTAAATGTGTGTGTGTGACGTGTGTATGCGCGTCTATATGCATTTTTTTAAGTATAATTATGCACCTACTTGAAAATATTGCCGAAATGCTGATTGCTTTCAAACTTGAAAGTAAATGCCAAAAAAACTTTGGAGGTATCCTCCCGCTACCTGTCTCAGAGGTAACATCCCGGATCTGAAACAGTATGTAGAATTCTCATTCTCTGGCACGTGGTACAAAGAGCTTCAAGTATCAATAAACTAGAATCAGCGCAAGCAGCACATGCACTAGTTTTGCATGATTGGGTTTATAAAGTTTATAATGCAAATCGCGCCTATTCAATCAGGATCTATATAATAGGGATGCAAGTCAGGAAACCATCATCAAGTCACAATTGAATCGACATGAACTGAAAACCGTGACGTTCCTAGAGATGTGCTGCTTTGCCAACGCAGCCACGGCCCCCCTTTTGCAGCGTTGGTCTCACAACAAGCCCCAAACAATCAAAACATCAAGGATCAGAAAGAAAGAGGGCAACAAGCCTCTAAATATCTTCTGATTGTGAAGATCCGTCAAGTCTTATGTCTTATGTCTTGATATGTCTTAATCCCTCATCAAGCCTTTCTTCGCCCATCAGTCCACGCAAATGGTGCCAAGGCACACGCACGTTTTCAAATTCCTTCGCAAATATAGGTGTTACACCTAAGTGCCGGGATCTGGCTGGCAGGCAACCAGGGGTGCCAAAGGTGGTTTCTGGGCTGCCTCTGGCTGCTGGATGCCTAAAAATGGTCACTGTGAATCTTGGAGGCAGTCTCTAGAATCACAAGTTTTTGTGGTGAGCAGTGCCCAGAACTCTTTGTCAATTTGTCATCCCGTTCGTCTCGGGAGTTCTCAGTGGATGAGTCCATACTCCACATTGAAAATAGATCATAATCTTTTTGGGATTAACAATAAATATTTGCCATGGGTGCTGCAGGGCGCCTGGGTGTTTAGTTTTTTTTTTTGCATTATATATATAAATATATATATATATATTTTTGATGATGGGGTGGGCTGGGGTGGGGTGGGGTGGGATGTTGACGTTCATGTTGTGCTCATGATGTTACGTTGATCATGGGGTGGGGTGGGGTGGGATGTTAACGTTCATGTCACGCTCATGATGTTACGCTCAGAAAAAAGTTGCAAGTTTTGAAACAATAGGCCCACCGGAAGATATTCCAACATGTGCTGTCCTTTCGTTTATTTCAACACCGACATTCTAGGTTTGCTTGCCCAAAAGCCGTCCACCGCAAGAATCAATGGAGGAGATCTAAAATTCAAAGCTTCTTTCAGCTGTCAACTTCAAAAGGCCTACTGCTATCTATGCTGATGGTGCTCGCGCATGGTCCAAAGCTGCAAAGGTTTTGACAGTTCCTTGCTTTCAAGTGAATCATCAGCATAAAGAATATGCTTCCACAATTCGTAAGGTGCCCAAAGGATTGTCGAACATCAGTGGAGCACAGACCATTGATTCAGATTGGAAATCGTTGAGATATTGGCTTCCCAAGGAAGCTTCCCCAAAAAGAAGGCACTGGTGACTTGGTGACCCACTCCTCAAAATTGGAGCAAAGGGTCTGGCAATGGATGTGGCGCAGAACAATTCTGCGCAGCAATAATTCAGAGAAACTTGCAGCCATGAGCAAATTGTTCAATGGTTGAAGTAGTTTTTGGGACGTCAGAAAACAGGCGTGCAAGGCTGCATACGCAATTCCAGTGGGAAATTCACGCGCACACCCTTAAAACCACCAGGCGCCTATCAGCGCCGTTCCCAAATAGTTTGTATATACAACCTTCAACCACCAGAACTTTAGGACACGGCTCAGGCTGTTCCTGTTATATACACTGTCTGCCAAGTAGCTGATATTGTAGTAGAATAGGTTGCCTCAGGCCACAAATCTGTCCATGGCACCCACTGCGATGGCTGTGCGTGCGTCATAAAATGTGGCATTGATTATCATTGATTGGCATTGGATTGCGCCAACAAACACAAGCAGTATGTGTATAGTAAAGGTACGAAAGGTATATAGACATCGTTCCGTGGCATAGCTATGCAATTCACATATATCATAATTAATCATATTTTGGAAGAACATCAAGTTTGTCCACAACATGGGTGTGCTCATGACTATCCAGTTGAGTTGCTTGATCCTTCAGACCCAAAGACAGCATCCACGATCACGCGGAAGTTGATGTGCTGATCGGTGAGCGGCTGCAATTGACCCACCAAACCACCAAAATTTAAGCCATTTCTTAATCCCACTGCAATGGCCTCAAGGATGGATTTCCTTGGAAAGCTGGCTTGAATAGCGCAAGTCAACAGGTCAGGGGTGGTCAAAACAGCCGAGGAATGCTGAGGAAATCAAGCAGGCTGACACAATTCCACTTGCTTGTGTCCTGTTACCTGGGATTCGCCAACTCAAAAATCACAAGATATCACAAGCATTGCGCACCTCAATCAAAAACAGCCTCATTCTCTGGAACAAGCTTCATTCTGTGCCCAGCACCATCAGTATGCTCGAGAATGTAAATCCGCGGTGCACTAAGATCATGCAAATTACACACCTCCGGAGGCGTCAACAATAGATCAAAATATACCCTCTGGTAAATTAACATAACTATGGAAAATCACCATTTTTAATGGTTAAATCCACTATTTCAATGGCCATTTTCAATAGCTATTTTGTTAAATAACCAGAGGGTAAGCCCAGCCCCATGGTCCAATGGTCCAATATGGTCCAATACATCTCAATTGTTCAGGCTGCAGATGGAGCATTTCAGATGAAACCATATGACACCATTGCAGTCACGCACAGCCCATGCTTTTTCGTAGTCCTTTATCATGAGATGGGTTGTGTCGCCAACAGCGGGCTCAATGCAAACTACTCACCAACCAGCTGGACATGCGCAGGTCCGAAACATTGCTGCTTTGAGCACTTACAGGGCTCATACATCCCCCAAAACATGGTACATCACAATGAACTGCCTCCAACATGAAAAGCCCACAACCAAAAAGCAACCTTGGGATTTATGATTTATATCATCTATCTATATATCTATCTATCTATCTATCTATCTATCTCTCTATCTCTCTGTCTGTCTGTCTGTCTGTCTGTCTGTCTGTCTGTCTTTCTATCTCTATATCTATATCTATATCTACATCTATATCTATATCTACATCTATATCTATATCTATATCTATCTATATCTATCTATATCTATATCTGTCTATCTCTATCTATCTCTATCTATCTCTATCTAAATCTATCTATATCTATCTATACCTATCTTTATCTATCTATATCTATCTATATCTATCTATATCTATCTATATCTATCTATATCTATTCATATCTATCTATATCTATCTATATCTACATCTATCTATCTATATCTATTTATATCTATCTATATCTATCTATCTCTATCTATATCTATCTATCTCTATCTATACCTATCTATATCTATCTATACCTATCTTTATCTATCTAAATCTGTCTCTATCTATCTATATCTATCTATCTATATCTATTTATATCTATCTGTATCTATCTATCTCTATCTATATCTATCTGTCTCTATCTATATCTATCTATCTCTATCTATATCTATCTACTTATCTATCTATCTACTTATCTATCTATCTAATTATCTATCTATCTATCTATCTATCTATCTAATTATCTAATCTAATCTAATCTAATCGAATCGAATCTATCTATCCATCTATCTCTCTCTCTCTATCGAATCTATCTATCTACCTATCTATATCTATCTATATCTATCTATATCTATCTATATCTATCTATATCTATCTATATCTATCTTTATCTATCTATATCTATCTATATCTATCTATCTCTATCTATATCTATCTATATCTATCTATATCTATCTATATCTATCTATATCTATCTATATCTATCTTTATCTATCTATATCTATCTATATCTATCTATCTCTATCTATATCTATCTATCTCTATCTATACCTATCTATATCTATCTATATCTATCTATATCTATTCACATCTATCTATATTTATCAATTCCTATCTATATCTATCTATATCTATATCTCTATCTATCTATATCTATCTATACCTATATCTATATCTATCTATACCTATCTATATCTATCTAAATCTATCTCTATCTATCTATATCTATCTATCTATACCTAAAAATATATCTATCTATATCTATCTATCTCTATCTATATCTATCTGTCTCTATCTATATCTATCTATCTCCATCTGTATCTATCTACTTATCTATCTATCTAATTATCTATCTATCTATCTATCTATTTATCTATCTAATTATCTAATCTAATCTAATCTAATCGAATCGAATCTATCTATCCATCTATCTCTCTCTCTCTCTATCTATCTATCTACCTATCTATCTATATCTATCTATATCTATCTATACCTATTCATATCTATCTATATCTATCTATATCTATCTATATCTATCTATATCTATCTATATCTATCTATATCTATCTATATCTATCTATATCTATCTATATCTATCTATATCTATCTATAAGTATCTATACCTATCTATATTTAAAAATATATCTATCTATATTTAAAAATATATCTATCTATATTTAAATATATATCTATCTATATTTAAATATATATCTATCTATATTTCAAAATATATCTATCTATATTTAAAAATATATCTATCTATGTTTAAATATATATCTATCTATATTTAAAAATATATCTATCTATATTTAAAAATATATCTATCTATATTTAAAAATATATCTATCTATATTTAAAAAATATATCTATTCTATATTTAAAATATTATCTATCTATTATTTAAAAATATATCTATCTATATTTAAAATATATCCATCTATATTTTAAAAATATTATCTATCTATATTTTAAAAATATATCTATCTATATTTAAAAAATATATCTTATCTATATTTAAAATATATCTATCTAATTTAAATATAATATCTATCTATTATTTTAAAATGTATCTAATCTATATTTAAAAATATATCTATCTATATTTTAAAATTATACCTATGCTATATTTAATATATCTATCTATATTTAAAAATATATCTATCTATATTTAAATATATATCTATCTATATTTAAAAATATATCTATCTATATTTAAAAATATATCTATCTATATTTAAAAATATATCTATCTATATTTAAATCTATATCTATCTATATTTAAAAATATATCTATCTATATTTAAAAATATATCTATCTATATTTAAAAATATATCTATCTATATTTAAAAATATACCTATCTATATTTAAAAATATATCTATCTATATTTAAAAATATATCTATCTATATTTAAAAATATATCTATCTATATTTAAAAATATATCTATCTATATTTAAATATATATCTATCTATATTTAAAAATATATCTATCTATATTTAAAAATATATCTATCTATATTCAAATATATATCTATCTATAGTTAAAAATATATCTATCTATATTTAAATATATATCTATCTATATTTAAAAATATATCTATCTATATTTAAAAATATATCTATCTATATTTAAAAATATATCTATCTATATTTAAAAATATATCTATCTATATTTAAAATATATCTATCTATATTTAAAAATATATCTATCTATATTTAAAAATATATCTATCTATATTTAAAAATATATCTATCTATATTTAAAAATATATCTATCTATATTTAAATATATATATAATCTATATTTAAAAATATATCTATCTATATTTAAAAATATATCTATCTATATTTAAAAATATATCTATCTATATTTAAAAATATATCTATCTATATTTAAAAATATATCCATCTATATTTAAAAATATATCTATCTATATTTAAAAATATATCTATCTATATTTAAAAATATATCTATCTATATTTAAAAATATATCTATCTATATTTAAATATATATCTATCTATATTTAAAAATATATCTATCTATATTTAAAAATATACCTATCTATATTTAAAAATATATCTATCTATATTTAAATATATATCTATCTATATTTAAAAATATATCTATCTATATTTAAACATATATCTATCTAAATTTAAATATATATATCTATCTATATTTAAAAATATATCTATCTATATTTAAAAATATATCTATCTATATTTAAATATATATCTATCTATATTTAAATATATATCTATCTATATTTAAAAATATATCTATCTATATTTTAAAATATACCTATCTATATTTAAAAATATATCTATCTATATTTAAATATATATCTATCTATATTTAAAAATATATCTATCTATATTATATATTATATATCTATCTATATTTAAAAATATATCTATCTATATTTAAAAATATATCTATCTATATTTAAAAATATATCTATCTATATTTAAATATATATCTATCTATATTTAAAAATATATCTATCTATATTTAAAAATATATCTATCTATATTTAAAAATATACCTATCTATATTTAAAAATATATCTATCTATATTTAAATATATATCTATCTATATTTAAAAATATATCTATCTATATTTAAAAATATATCTATCTATATTTAAAAATATATCTATCTATATTTAAATCTATATCTATCTATATTTAAAAATATATCTATCTATATTTAAAAATATATCTATCTATATTTAAAAATATATCTATCTATATTTAAAAATATACCTATCTATATTTAAAAATATATCTATCTATATTTAAAAATATATCTATCTATATTTAAAAATATATCTATCTATATTTAAAAATATATCTATTATAAAAATATATCTATCTATATTTAAAAATATATCTATCTATATTTAAAAATATATCTATCTATATTTAAAAATATATCTATCTATATTTAAATATATATATATACAGATTTAATCTTCTTTTGCATCAGCATCATCAGCCCCTTTTGCAACCCCTAGACTCAGCGGTTTCACCAGCCTTCAGCTGGCACCTCTTCTCCTTCTCCTTCTCCGGCAGATCTACCAGGTTGGACTTCCCCGGCGCCTCAGATGGACCTGCTGGCAGTCTCTGCTTCGTTTAGCACACCTACTGGCTATGTATGGCTACCATCTGGTTATGACTAACATAGCCATGAAAAATCCATGAAAAATGGAGGTTTCTAGCTGGGAAAATCATCTATTTCTATGGGCATCTATGGGCCATCTATACCATGGCTATGTTAAATAACCGGAGGCTATATCTTTAAGCAAGATGCTGAAAGATTTTGACATTCTGATGCATTTCGCATCCTTTAGCCATAAAGCATCGAATCATATCGGACCTATGGTTTGTCATCTTGTAGTGCATAATTGTGAACACCAACTGGTGACATGAATCCTGTTGAATGTTTTGATTTCCGTCCCGCCTGCGCTGCTGGGCAGAAGAGTGGCGTTCTTCTTCCCGCGGGCTACACAGGCCTTAAATTCCTGCTGATAACCTGCCAGTGTGGGCACGGTTCATACCACCCCGTCAATCAGCTTACGCTAATTAGGTAAATGGGAAAAAACATACAAACATATAAGCATGTAGTGGAACAATGTGGAACAATGTGGAACAATGTGGAACAATGTGGAACAAACTGTTCACAGCTCAGGAGCTGGCTCGGGATTCATCCCTTCCATTCACCCAGTTCTCCAGAGGTGCATCGATGTTGGATGGAAATATCACACAGTTGGTGTTCATGTACGCAGGCACCATGGAAAACGAGCTTTGCGACATGATCAAAATGCTGGCTCTGGCCATGTGTGTCCATGCAACCAGCATGTCGTCATTGTTATCAATGTGTTCATCCAAGTGCACTGTCATACCACGCTCCCGGTAACCGTCATAATCTTTGGACGTCCAGTAGTCGTAGTCAAAAGCAGGTATGTTCTTGGGTGAACTCCACACGTGAAAATCGAGCTGATCAGATGGAATGATGTCCGCGATTTCCTGCGGGTCTTTGATCTTTGCTCGGTTGACTGGGACTACGCTTTGCTATGGCAATCCGGTGCTTTGAGTGCTGAATTGCCCATAGATTGTACAACCAAAGGTGGGATATCCTTTGGTAATCCATGTCTCTGATTTCTAGGTTGGCCATAGGGCCATAGGTTGTACAACCAAAGGTCAACGTGTTCCGAGTGACTGGGGGTGGTGTGCTATCTCATTGAGATCCTCAAAGCAAGATCAAGCCCCAAACAATGGGAGGCAACCATTAGAATCATTAGACCATCGTTGACCATATATACCATATATATATATATATATATCTGAGATATCTGTCCACATCTATTCCTAAGAGTATCTATCCATATCTATCCATATCTATCCATCCCTATCCACATCCATCTCCCCATATCTCCCCCAAATAACCCATGCTGTTCCACCATCTCCTTGGCTAAGCGGTAGTAATAGCTGTCCGCCGTGGCGCGGGTGTCATCTCGCTCCAGATCTGCGCGCCGCAGGTGGATCACCACAGACACCTTCCCGGGCGCGAAGAGAAGCGGCCGCCGATCCAGGTGCCGTCCTCGGTGCCGGGGATGGCCGGGGGCATCAACTGGGGAGGTTAAAAAAAAACATCAAACATGGGGTTATAACATGGTTATAATATAACCAATAAACATCAATAAACATGGTCATATCACCATGGTTTTATAATGATGCTTCATTTTTGGTAGGGTGTGTTTGGCTTGATAATATGAAGATAAAGCATAAAAAATATTTTAGACTTCTATTCAAATTTGAAGGTGTGGAAAATTTTGGAACGTTTGGAGTCCATAGTTTTGGTAAGCGTTTCACGTTTCCAGCTACTTTGCTTAACGGAGGCTGTAGCATGCTTCAGCCAAATGCTCATGCACGATAGGTAAAGCCCTCAAAAATATTTTAAAAGGCAATTACAAACAATACAAAGAAATGGCAACATGATTGCGCAGCTGCAGCCGAATCCATTCTTTACGAGCAAGCATCTCAAGTCATCCCGCAACCACTGCGCAAAGTAAGAGGTAGTCGGGATGCTCCGGTCATAGCCCCTAGGTGATGCAAAAAAATACGAACGCCAACTCTTCACATCCTGATGTACATATGACTCATATGAAACCGCAGCCAGGCACCAAAAATTCTTTCGTTTGCTTCTTTCGTGATGGCGTGAATAATTAAATAATGGCAAATCTATGGTTAGATTAGATGGCTTCATGATGCGTTATGCTTGACATGGAAAGGACATCTGTGGATACACAAATGCACCAACGCTCTCCTGCCCAATTATCCTTGGAAGGGGAACATGAGATCTCAGTATCATCATTTGATTCCAAACCCGGGGCACAACGTTGGTTTGCTTGGGGGAGAATGGACGGTTACCATAAATATCAGCCTACAACCCACAGCCCTGTTATACCTTACAGTGCTTACAGGCAGATCGGCATAACCTGGCATAACCAACAGTGGGATCCAGGGGCCATTCATTCACAGCATGGCAGTAGACGAAGTCAGAATCCTTCAGTTTGGCTCGACTGCTTTCCAGCTGTCGCACGTCATTGAAGATCCCTGCCCAACCTCGGCGGAAGGGATGATTTGGGGGAACCTCCTGTCCTAATCTGATGGGAAACAAATGGGAAAATGACAACAGCATACAACGGCATCAACTACCTGCAACAATTCAAATAATGGATGCTAGAATCTGCTAGAAGGTTTGCTGGACTTGAAAAGGTTGGAAAATAAAAATAGTGCAGTTGAAGGTGCTCTTCTTCAAATTCACAATTCAAACCCAACCCTGTGGCCCACAAACCTCGCAGACACAAGTGCCTGAGTTCATCTAGCTTCCTTTCAAACCTAGCCATCGGTTCCAGTTGCATTTGCACCCTTTAAGAAATTCACCCATCTGTCACACCAAGCCTTTCCAGCCAAGGTGCTGGGTTTGTTGCTGATGTTGTAGATGTAAAGTTCCTTGGATGCCTGGTCACTGGCACTCTTTTACCCATGACAGACCATGGTGCGAAAAAACGTGGTAGACCCACAAGCCTCGTCTCCGAAAATGGCGTCCGTAATGACCCGGAAGTTGATGTGTTGATCCTCCGCAGATGATTGATCTACACATACACACGGAAAAAAAATAAACACATGGTCAAGACATAACCAAAACATCCAGGAATGGATTTCAAACATGTGAAGATGTGAAGCAAACCGGGTCATGAACGTTTCTTTCTGTTGCAATGCCATGTCGTCAGTTGGCTAAGTCGGCTGAGTAAAGATTGCAGAAGCAAAGAGGTCCAATGGGAAATCGGGTGAGATCCAATTCCAGATATGTGCCTATGTGCATATATACATTACACAAACACACACGCACACAGATATATATATATATATACATATATATATATACACACATCATGCAATATTATAATTTATTAATATTTATTATACATATAGTTTCCAGAATCTAGAAGAAACACGGGTTTTCCTTGAGTAGGAACCTTTCCATGTCCTAGCTTATGGACGTATGCGGAACATTGTGGAACAGCCCTTACCTCCCTTCACCCAGTCATGCCCTCTCCGTCAGGGGTTGCAGTTGCCCGACCAAGCCACCGAAGTTCATCCTGTGCCCATGGCAGCAACGGCTGGGCTCGGCTGGACATTGGAACTGCAACCTTGCCATTTTCAACAGTTTTCAATGGCTAAGTGGCTAAACGTATCAAATTCTCGAGCCTTACCAATCCCGAGGATATCCTTCCTCTAATGCTTCAATTCAGTCCACGTTTTATCTGGAGTGTTCTACCATTCGGAAAAAAAAAACCTGGGCTGCAGCTCCAATATGGGATGAGTTGCTAGCACCAAGGTTTTGATCCATGGTCTACAGTACTAGAATGGCCACGTAGGGAGCATGAAGATTAACCACGGAACCATGGATGGAATGGTGGTTTTCCATGGGTTTTCCCCTCTTTTTTTCAGAGAACCCAGATTTTATGGTGCACCAATCGCTAGGCATCGCACTTGTTTCGCCAGGCAATGGCGACCGCTTCTAGGACGGATTTCATCCGGTGCCCTGCACCATCGGTGTGCTCCTGCCATTTGGGGATGATGGCTACCACCCATATATGGTGATACGCGTGGTTAAGATGAGGCCTACATTGGGCCTACAGTACACATGAAGCAGCATGAAACATCATGAAACTGGTGACTTCTGAAAGGCATGAGAAAAAAATGAGTCATACTGAGTCATACTATATAGTACTATGTAATCATAAGACTAGGTCAATCACCGAGAGAAAAGAGTCAGTCATAATATGTAAGTTACATGGTCAATCACCGTTCTACCAAGGCTTCCACTTCTTCAAACGTCAAATGTTGAGCCAGCCATCAGCATCAGGTTTGGCTCCAGAATGAAGAGCTGCGGTCCCGTCTTATGCAACTGACACAGCGGCAGCGCACACACGCCCTCCAGCACTGTGGTGGTGCTGGTGCTGCTTGGCACATGGTCACCTCAGAGGCTGCGATGCAGCAACATTCTGCACGCAAATCATTTCTTCCAATGGTGGACACAGCAAAATGATCCAAAATGGCAATTTCCATGGGGAAATTATGATGATCAAAAAAGGAATCTTTTTCATAGAGTACACTATGTTCAAAGACGTTGCCGCATTTTGAAATCTTTATCCGACTTGAGAGTGCATGGGCCTCAAGGCAACACAAGGTACGGCATGAATCAAGTCTTGTTTGATGCTTGGAGCTTTGCTTTTCCGACAAAATATGAGTGTATCAATTTCAGATATGGCCGGATGGGACGGTCAGACTGGACATGGTGCAACATCCCTACATCAGCATCCACTTCCCGTAGCTTTTAAGGCAAAGTCACGTGTAACACTGGAGTCTTGCGGCAGGTCAGCATTTGGCGAACTGGACGGATGACGGATGCAGCGGCTTCATATTCTGTATTCAGGTTCATTCAACGACAAATGCCGGTGCCGATGGCAAGCCTACGCAAATGCTTGGTTCATGAGTTGGTACGGATTGTTTGGACCCCAAAGTCATTCAATAAATTTGCTTAGTGTGTCAAACAGTTAAACCCAATTTCAAGAAATCCCCAACATCACCATAAAATGGATTGGATAAACATGTATCAACCACCCCCAACTGGTACATTATTGGGTTTACCTCATTGGTCCAAATCTGCGCCTGGGATTTCCCAGCACTGCTTTGGCCAGCTGAACCTGGTCCTGGGGGCTGACTCGGTGCGAAAGGTTCCGCCCAGGGGTTGTCTGAAAGTAGGCTAACCCAGATTCCCCCAACATCCCCATGGCAGATTTTGGCAGCTTTTGGGATATCATTTGGCTGGATTATATCAAATTATATCAAATTTAGGTCCTAGGATGTCCTAGGTATCCAGAGTTCTTGGACACTGATTGAGGGACAAAAATTCCTCAAGTGGCCAAGGGTCTAAAGTAGCCCCACCATCTGTGAGAATAGTCCCTGCCACCCATCCCTCAGGGTCTGTGGCAGAGAAAAGCCTGAGGTTCAGCATGAGGCATCCCATGTATTCCATGTTGCAGAGTCATGTTGTATGCCAAGAAGCTGGAGGTCAGCCAAATCTACACGAACTCGGGCAGCCATCATTCGGCTGAGTGATTAAGACTTGGGGATTGGAATCATTTGGGAGTCTGGTCGTCAAGTCAAGGCGCAGCACCCCCACCAAAGCACCAAATCCTAAGGGACCCAGTTGACACATCAACAAGTTCATCTTCTTGGTGGCGTTCAATTTCAGCCACGATATGACACGATCACAAAATCTGAGTTCTTGGGAGCCATTGGTCATGGTCGCAGTTTGGCAGATGGGAATAAAAACTAATTATCAATAATTGTCAAGTGGATGTTTCTTGAAATTGGGTACCCCCCAACCATTGGTTTCCTACTTAAAAATTGACCATCTTTGGATGATTTTAGGGTTCCCAATTTTGCTACTGCCTGAGGCTGTCACCTAAGCAAGTCCACGTCTTGCACAGTGGCATGGCTCGGCTGGGCCATGGTTTTGCTCGAGAAGTGGAGTCACGGAGTGCTAGAAAAAAACAGCAGCTTGGCCGTGCCTTTCTCCATACATATCCTGATCAAAGTAGGAAGATAAATTTTAATCGGAGGGTACCATTTAAGTATCATATTATGACCATTTGGTGAGTACCCCCCGATTAATAAACCACGGTAAGTCTTAATTTTGAGTAATTTTGAGCCAATGCCAAGTCGTACCTTGCATGGCATACTGTATCATTCTATGCTAGCTCAAAAAAGGCTGTGAGGCAAATGCTGTCACAGAAATCAAACCGGGTCTTACTCGTGGTCTCTTAGGGCCGAAGAATTAGTAAGAATTATAGGTTTCACTTCTGATAATGGTGGTAGTGCCTTACCCAACGCACCCAGCTCGGCTAGGATGCCTGTTCTGTGAAGAATGTAAAGTTGAACACGGCCACGGCAAGATAATGCAAGCACGTCCGTCTGCAGGTGTACATCACGGCAATGACAAAAGAGAGACAAAATGGTGGAAGTACAGAAGTAAGCAAGCATAATCAAGCTCATAGCTATACACCCAACTGTTGCCAAATCTAATCAAAACACACCATTCTGCTTCCCAGCCTGTTGAACTTGTTTAAACTATTCAAGGACGCGGGCAAAAACAATCGAACTGTGACAAATCACCAGCATAACCAGGCAATTCTTCGCCATTCTTTGCTGCCCGGATCCGTCTGAAACGAGCCGCACACTTTTCACGGTGCACCCGCAGTCCCCGCGCCGTCCAACCACGTCATTTACGGCGCTTGGTCACAACACCCTGGGAGCGCCAGCGCCAGCGCCTGGTGTTCCCAGCTGTGGATAGCTTCATGGATTGGGTGCCTGATGGTTCCACCATGGTGTACTGCGGTAAACCCAATGCCATAAACATCCATAAACCATCCCCAAAATCACCAAAAATGAATGGGATTCGGACCATGTCAAACATTTTTCCTATAGGTTTATGATGGTTTATGGCATTGGCTTTCCCACATCAACAACTGTATACCCTCGAGGATAGCCATTGCCTCGAGTGATTGATCTCCACCGAGCCGTAGACATCCTCAGAACGGCTCCCCCTGTTTCAGCACGGGTCTATCGAATGGCACAACATGAAACGACTATAAACTGGCACATGTAAGTTAACATAAGCTATAAGGCTATAAGGGTTTCCTGTGGATGCTATCTGGTATTGTTCGGTTCGGTATTATGGTCAAATTATACGGATTCCCAAGTTAGATAAGGCCATTTGGGATGATTCCTCTCACTCAACATGTGAAAAAGGTGCTGTCGATGGTCACCATGATTTAAAATTCAATGGATTTAGATGGTACCATCATGTACCATCCAAGATCCCGATATTAGATTCCAGACATGAGGATCATGAGGATCAGAATAGTAATAGTGATACCCGCATAGTCATGAAAGTTTAGGTCGAAACCTCCAAAGGCACCTCCGTTAAAAAAAAACATGTTGCTGAACAAGGAGGCAACATGAAGCAGCCCTTAGGCCATGGCCAGGATGAATTTATCCCTCCGTTGGAGCAGCAGCTTTTTCAACCTCAGCTGACCCCATTTCGAGATGGGTTGTCATTCTGCCAAAACATCCCAAACCATGGGTTGTGTTTTCTGGACGAAGTGACCAATACAGCCAATGCATTCGAACATATTCGAACCATTAAAACTACCAATCAGGTAATATCATATAATATCAGTATTTCGAGCGAATACCTGGAGTTTTTCGCAGCTCCTGTCGCAGGACTTTTGGGCAGCCCGGCGTGGAACTTCCCCTGGGAAGTGGCACCTTGTTGCCCAGCAGCCGCAAGGTGCTTCGGCCGTGCTGCCGCAGGTATTCCTGGCACCGTGGGCTCCTGCTCTGATGAACCCCTTTTTGGAGGTCCCACTTTGGAAGGGCATCCGAAAAATGAAGAACAATGTAACAATGGTAAATGTTCAGTGAATGTGGAGCAAAGCTCTAAGGGAGACAAGAGGTACAGTATGGTACAGTAAGTTGTTCAAGCAAGCGCGAGCACTTCGGAAGAATTCGGAATGCTGTAGTCCATCCCCTGTGCAAATCATGGGCCGATGCTTCAACTGTTCCACCAAAAAGCTTGTCAATGGACTGATTGAAGGGAAACACTATGGGAAGCCATTGTTACTAATTAATCTTATTAGCCGGAATTTGGGGGTTTCCTCTAGGTTTTCCCTTGACACCATTCTCAAAGAAACTGCTCTCTTTCCTTTTTCATCCTTTCTCCGCGTTCGTCAGGAGCAGCGCTACTGACCCCTACTGCGGGTATCCCCATTTGGGGAAGGGCTTGGTCTCATCTCCGAGACCCATGGAGTCGCGGATCTTCTCCTGGCGGCTGATCCAATGCTAAGGACAGCTGGAAAATCTCCAAGTTGGATGGTGCTCCCGGCGAACTAAACCTCCAGTGGTAGGGGATATTCAAGTGCCATGATTTCGTACCGGAGGGCAAGTGAGATTTTTAGTTTCATTTTTTTCAAGATGTTTAAGGAATAGGAAGTATGAAGACCGGTTGAAACAACATGAAACCACCAAACCGGAACAACATGTTCACAATGGTCTTGAAAAAAATAGCACATATTCTGACGTTTTTCTGACGTTTTTTTTGGATTGGACGGGATTAGATGATGTCTGAATGGGTGATGTCTGCAAGGCCGACCGAACATGTTCCGTGCACAAGCTGCAAATGCTGCCGGCTCCACCAATCGATCATCCTTCGCCAGCTTTCTCAAGGCTGGGGACTTCTCCTGACCCATAGGGTGCCAGGAAGGGTGTGCCAGGGTCTGGTGATGTCTGGTGGAGCTGTTTTTGACCTTTTCCGATGGCTGTTGCACCATGTTGGCGTTGAGAGGAGCAAGCTAAGCAGCTCTGAATGGAGCTCTGGGAAAGGATGGTCAAGGCAGGGCGTGATGGGTGATGCAAATGGAGTGCCGCACTCTCAGACCCCCCCCGAACAGTGCCAAGGCGCCATGAATTTTGGCGTCCAGTTTGGGAAAAACCTCAGCTCCGCTCGGGAAATCAAAAGTTTGCAACAAGGAATTCTCAGGATGACACCTGTCAAGAGTTCCATTCTATTTTTTTATGCCTTGTAAATTCTCCAAAAACAAAGTGTCATTGTTTTTGTTTATGTCCGCATTGCTTCCCCAAAGGCCAACCCATGAAGTGCAACCCAAGGGCTGGTATGGATCAGGTTCATTGAGTTCGGGATATTCGCGAGCTTTTCTGAACTTGGTATCCCACCTGAAACAGCTCGATTGCCGGGGATGCCGGGGATGCTGGGGATGCTGGGGATGCTGCTGTGGATGCGTGTTGCTACATTGGACGTCACGCATGATCAACACGGCAAATGGAACCCAAGTAGTGGGCGTCATTAAGTCATTGAACGCAATGCCAGCTTTACAAAGCCACAGCCATACAGGTGTATCTAAAAATGGGACATCCCCCACATGACAAATCGTTTTATGGAAAGATCATGACTGACACCATCCCCAGTAGACAAAACCAATTAGATCACAAACCAAATCACTAGATTCACGGCCCAGGATGGTCAGCAAACATCTGGGGCCAATGCTCGTCCCACTTGGACTCGATAAAGTAGACTTGTGGGATGCCTCTCCGCCTTGGTGCAAAAATGGTGAGATTATGGATACAAACAAGTTACTCTTAGCAAAAAAAATGTGCATGAATGTTATGCACATTGTACACACACACACACAAACACACACTGGTCTGGTTGTGAATTCTGAGTTTAAATCCAAACTCGTGAGATTCGAAGTTAAATCCACCTGGGTGAAGTCCGCAATGGTATGAAGAAACAACAGCTTCATCAACCGATTTATACCTGAAACAGTGACAGCCTCGAGGAAAAACAGGTGATCACAAGTAAGCCAGCAGGTACATGAAAACGGCGTTCCGCTTTCATATCACAGGAAGGAGTGAAGGCCTTTGTTGGTGCCAGTTTCACTCAATCCTCTGGCACCCCCTGCATTGAAATTACATGCAGCACTGTTAACATCGCAGGTGCTAGACTGCTAGAAGGGTTCACACACACACACGCCCCATCCTGGGGCTGATTCACCCAATCGTCCATGCAAGATCACACAGGTAGAGAAGACCAATATTCAACCACCAGGACCTTTATGTGTGAAAAACCAGTTATACAATTTGACATCTGGTAACCTGGTAGCCACATGGAAACTGTAAGAGGGAAATTTGTTTCACGATGAATCCACACAGCCCAATGACTTAATTATCCGGCGGCTTGATTGTTGTATATTTTGATACAGCATCAAGTTGCAACGTGCGTACTCCACAATAGCACCAAACATTGCCTCGAAGAACCTTCTAGGTTTTACCGCTGAGCTCAGTAGCTCTTAATGCAATCCTTTGACACCATCTGGCCATTTTTCCATTTGTAATGTTTAAAGTTTAAAATAGTTTCAATGAATTAGGACTTAAGTGTTTGTGAGAATTTGATGTGCTGTGGCCAAAAGATTCCATGGTTTCTAGGTGCCGTATAGGCCTCGCCGACGCGGAGGCACTCTCACTCTCAATTCTACAAATCTAAAGTCAGGCGAAGAAACACAGATTTGATGGCGCATGAGGGAAGAACATAAAAATAAGGAGAGAGACACGAAGAACACCAAATGGAAACCACAAGAAAAAACCAAAACCACGACCAAGGGAGACACGACCAAAAACCAAGAAACACACAAACAATCACAAACACACACGCACACACACACATATATATATATACATATATATATATACATATATATATATAGAGATATGGGTATACATATATATATATATGCACACACATATATATATATATATATATGCAAATAGATAGATAGATAGATAGATCGATAAGATAGATAAGATAGATAAGATAGATAAGATAGATAAGATAGATAAGATAGATAAGATAGATAAGATAGATAAGATAAGATAAGATAAGATAAGATAGATAGATAGATAGCTAGATAGATAGATAGATGGATGGATAGATAGATAGATAGATATGTATGTATGTATATATAATATATATTTAAAAATTATTACTATGTATACACCATGTGTAAATATATTTATACATGAGAAGGCAGGTAGATAGGTCATAGGCAGATAGCTAGATAGAGATATAGATAGAGGTAGATTGAGATAGAAACAGGTAACCCCGAGTACATATGTATACGCATATATATATACGTACACGTATACGTATAAATATATATATATATGTATACGTATTTATATATATATATACGTATACGTATATATATATGTATATATATATACGTATACGTATATATATATACATACGTATACATATATATTATATATTATGGATAAGATAGACAGATTCGGGTTTTGTTCAGAACTTGGGAGTACCCAAAAACCACTGATTAATTATGACCATATCATCAGCGGAAACAGCCATGGAGTGGAGGGTATTCCGGTATTCTCCAGGCTTAACAGAACTGAGTGGCGGAAACCATCCCCAATTAGAGGCTTCATTATTGTCGTTGGGTTTACCACCTGAATTAATCAAACCAAAAAAACACATGTGGCAATTGCGAACCAAAATGCTCAGCCAGGAGTTGATCGGGCTGCTGTGAGCTTTGTTGAGTGTTGTAAACCCAATAATCAACCATCCCCAACATGACAAAACATGTGTGTAAACCACTTGAAATATCCTTAAATGGTAGTTGTTGATGCTACCGCCGCCCGTGGTGGACTCAGTGAATTTGTTTTTTTTACAATTCAATACGTTTCACGCGCAATCATGTCTGCATCCACGCACGTCTTCTTCACATGACTTCATGTACCTTCGGGTGTGGTGGGGTGGGGGGGGTGGTAACGTCTGCGTGCACTTGACTTGATCTCACATACCCTGAGGTGGGGTGAGGGGGTATGGTAACGTCTCTGTGCACTTGCTCACATCTTTCATGCTACGCTCCACATGTCTTCCTTGCAAGTTCTACCACGTCAAGCATGTGTTGCTGGAGTTTACCAGAGAAGTGAGAAGACAAAATGGTCGCAAGATCACACTTGGCACGCAGATTTTGGACAAATGTTGGGATTACTGTAAAGGTTTCATTCCAAACACTGTCCATACAAAGAACGCGAAGAACAAACTATTGAATGCTGAGATCTGGAGCTATGTCTACCAATGGCAATGGCGATACAATCATCGCCATGCCTTGTGGCAGGGACGGGGGTCACATTCGCCCCTACCCATTCGCCCCTACCCCACTATCCTTCCCATTGACTGTGTCATTCAACCTTTTAGGGAAAGACCTGGGGACAAGGGACTTTTAGGGGGGGGACGGGGAACATTTAGGGGGGCCTTGCAAACGCAGCTTAAGTCACTTCCCTCGCTATTGAATATGTCACTCAACCTTTTAGGGTAAAACCTGGGGACACGGGACTTTTAGGGGGGACTGGGGAACATTTAGGGGGAACTTGGGGACATAGCTTAAGACGCTTCCCTCACTATTGAATATGACATTGAACCTTTTAGGGTAAGACCTGGGGACACGGGATGTTATGTTGAAATGGATGTTACAACGTAGCATCCACAGCGTCTTGGAGTTGCTTGAAATGGATGTTACAACGTAGCATCCAGGGCGTATGGGAAGTTGATTGATATGGATGTTGGAACGTCGCATTCACAGCGTCTTGGAGTTGCTTGAAATGGATGTTATGCTGCAACGTAGCATCCAGAGCCTCTTCGAAATTGATTCAAATGTATGTTACAACGTAGCATCCAGAGCGTCCAGGAAGTTGCTTGAAATGGATGTTACACAGTAGCATCCAGAGCGTCTGGGAAGTTGATTGAAATGGATGTTGGAACGTAGCACCCACAGCGTCTTGAACGTAGCATCCAGAGCGTCTTCGAAGTTGATTCAAATGGATGTTACAACGTAGCATCCACAGCGTCTTGGAGTTGATTGAAATGGATGTTTTGTTGCAACGTAGCATCCAGAGCGTCTTCGAAGTCGATTGAAATGAATGTTACAACGTAGCATCCAGGGCGTCTGGGAAATTGATTGAAATGGATGTTGGAACGTCGCATTCACAGCGTCTTGGAGTTTCTTGAAATGGATGTTATGCTGCAACGTAGCATCCAGAGCGTCTTCGAAGTTGATTCAAATGTATGTTACAACGTAGCATCCAGAGCGTCCAGGAAGTTGCTTGAAACGGATGTTACACAGTAGCATCCAGAGCGTCTTCGAAGTTGATTCAAATGTATGTTACAACGTAGCATCCAGAGCGTCCAGGAAGTTGCTTGAAACGGATGTTACACAGTAGCATCCAGAGCGTCTTCGAAGTTGATTGAAATGGATGTTGGAACGTAGCACCCACAGCGTCTTGGAGTTGATTGAAAAGGATGTTACGTTGCAACGTAGCATCCAGAGCGTCTTCGAAGTCGATTCAAATGGATGTTACAACGTAGCATCCACAGCGTCTTGGAGTTGATTGAAATGGATGTTATGCTGCAACGTAGCATCCAGAGCGTCTTGAAGTTGATTCAAATGGATGTTACAAGGTAGCATCCAGGTTGTCCGGGAAGCTGCTTAAAATTGATGTTACAACGTAGCATCCACAGCGTCTTGGAGTTGCTTGAAATGGATGTTACAAAGTAGCATCCAAGCGTCTGGGAAGTTGATTGAAACGGATGTTGGAACGTAGCATCCACAGCGTCTTGGAGTTGATTGAAATGGATGTTATGCTGCAACGTAGCATCCAGAGCGTCTTCGAAGTTGATTCAAATGGATGTTACAACGTAGCATCCAGGGCGTCTGGGAAGTTGATTGAAATGGGATTTACAACGTAGCATCCACAGCGTCTTGGAGTTGATTGAAATGGATGTTATGCTGCAACGTAGCATCCAGAGCCTCTTCGAAATTGATTCAAATGTATGTTACAACGTAGCATCCAGAGCGTCCAGGAAGTTGCTTAAAATGGATGTTACAACGTAGCATCCAGAGCGTCTGGGAAGTTGATTGAAATGGATGTTACAAAGTAGAATCCAAGCGTCTGGGAAGTTGATTGAAACGGATGTTGGAACGTAGCATCCACAGCGTCTTGGAGTTGACTGAAATGGATGTTTTGTTGCAGCGTAGCATCCAGAGCGTCTTCGAAGTTGATTGAAATGAATGTTACAACGTAGCATCCAGGGCGTCTGGGAAGTTGATTGAAATGGATGTTGGAACGTCGCATTCACAGCGTCTTGGAGTTGCTTGAAATGGATGTTATGCTGCAACGTAGCATCCAGAGCGTCTTCGAAGTTGATTCAAATGGATGTTACAACGTAGCATCCAGAGCGTCTTGGAACTGACTTCCAGAGCGTGTGGCAAGTTGATTGAAATGGATGTTACAACGAAAATTCCAGCGTCTTGGAGTTGCTTGAAAGAGATTTTCCAACGTAGCACGTGAACATGACTCTCTGAGGTGGAAAAGATCATTTCGAGGCTCTGAAACTTTTGCGCCTGCCACACAAAAGCAGAGGTCACATTCGCCCCTACCTTAGGGTCACATTCGCCCCTACCCCCAACTGAGGTAGGGGCAAATGCGACCCCACATGAGGTACGGGCAAATGCGACCCCCGTGCCCTTGTGGCAAATGGTTCCCAAAGTTCTCAAAGCACTTTGCAAATGAGACGTTGCACTTGCAAGTGACAAAGGTAAACAGGGCGGAGTCCGCTACGGGGGGCGGTACAGTGTTCACTGTAGCTAGGGTTTTCCATATTACTGCTGGGCTAGGTCTCTTGGTTCTCCCCCCAGCTTTTCACCTCTCAGCCAAGATGCCTAGCCCATCGCTTGGCTAAAGCCGTCTTCAAACGGCCCTTGTTCCGCGCCAGCCATACAAAGGCTTGACGCTGTTCCAGCTTGTCCTGAGATTTGAGAGACAACTAGATTTTGACCATCAAATGAAGGAAAATTGCCATCACATTTTTTGATTTTTGCCGTAGGGAGATGCTTTTTTGGAGAATTGATGATCAAGATAATCCTTTCCCCCTATTACTAAACGTCCCCCAAATACTAAAAACTAGGGTCCATCTCCAGTTTTGGAAAATTTCAGATTGGCCAATTTGACTTTTAATTGATCCCCTTTAGAAAACAATTTAAAAATAAAGCTACCATTTGTGTGTTTTGCACCCTAATACTAAAAACTAGTTAACACCGGGGTGTTTATTCTTAGGGTCCGTCCGATTTTTTTTGTTTTTTAATATTAGGGCTTTTAATTTCTTATTATAGGGCCCGCTTCGAAAACCAATTTTTGGCAATATTTTAATTGCGTTATATATTATATGGAAATTTAATTGATTTTGAACTCGAACAAACTAGTTTTTATTATCAAGGGTTTAATTTTATTAATAGGGTCCGCTTCGAAATCCAATTTTGGCAATATTTTAATTGCGCTATATATGGAAATTTAATTGATTTTGAAATCGAACAAACTAGTTTTTATTATTAAGGTTAATTTTATTATTAGGGTCCGCTTCGAAATCCAATTTTTGGCAATATTTTAATTGCGCTATATATGCAAATTTAATTGATTTTGAAATCGAACAAACAAGTTTTTATTATTAATATTCTACAGTAATTTTATTGTTAGGGTCCGCTTCGAAATCCAATTTTTGGCAATATTTTAATTGCGTTATATAAGGAAATTAAGTTGATTTTGAGATCGGAAAAAATAGTTTTTATTGTTAATGGTTTAATTTCATTATAATAGGGTTCCCTAATAATAAATACCCCCTAATACGAAAACCTACCTGAGGTGTTTGTTAATAGGGGGGGCGTTTACTATTAGGGGGAAGGGATTATATGGATGTTACCATGATTTTGCCATAGAATGTGGAGCTTTCGCCTGCAAAAATTGAGGATTTGAACAGCAACATTAGGGATGATTACTAGCATAAATTTGGTGATTTGACATTAAAATATATTAAAATCAGCGGCTTGTATAGTGACTATCAATGGATCGGTCGAAGATGGTCGAAGGATAAAATAGCAGGACACCACGTTTCTCCACGGTTTTCCTTTACATATTCGGGGTGTCCATAGTTCCCCCAAACCAATTCGTTTTTTGGGTGAACCTTTCCGCAGGGTCACGGGCATCGCCAGCAGCCCAAATGGAAATATGTTCTCCTGTAAAACATGTGGATGTGGAAAACCCACCATTGGTTGATCATTTTTCTAGGGAAACCATGGGTTTCTACATCTATGTTAATTTACCCTAGGGTATACGTCCAAAGGGGATCACGTTACACAAGGAAAGGCCTCCAAAAATGGGGATCTCCCAATGAGCGGAGACACGCCAGAAGCTGCTACGTGGATGTAGGCTGCCCGGCAACCTTTGCTCATGATGATGTCCTTGGCGTTGTCAAATCTCGTCCGTCTCACTGCTGAAATAGGTTCAAAAACACTCCGAACACAAGACTTTAAGTAACCGTCAGCATCTTCTGTGGGTTCATTACTGACATTCTGTCGATAGGGGATATCAACAGAAAATCAACTAAAATCATCAGATATATCCGATCGTATTTCAATGTATTTCATATAGTTCCGTTCCAAAGTTTGCCAAGTCGTCCCCATGAGTTTCCACATTTTCCAGCCCAATCAGGGGCCCCAGATGGCCCAAGATGGCCCAAGGCTCATCGATGCGGATCCGATTTTGCATATCTTCATCTCCCAGACGATCCAACGTCACCTCGCAAGCGTTGAAGATCTCTTCCAGGGTGCCTTGGCAGATCGAGTCCTGAAGCTATGAGAATGGCGTATAGCTTTATAAACTGGAGTATGAATATAAATATATATACATATAAGTTATATAAGTATATATAAGTATATATATATAATGAAATGATGTATATATATATATTTATATATACAATGGGTTTAAGTTTAAGAATGGGTATAACAGTGGGTATAAGAAAATTGCGCGATAAGACAATGGATGACAATGGAGCGCAGTTGTGGAAATGGATCGACCAAAAGGTCTCTATGATTCGATGTGGCTGAGGGAAGCGGTGCAGTTGGAATGAGCCAATTGTCTTCGGAAAAAATGGCAGGGAGTCACGTACCTTTCAACCACCGATGTCTTCTTGGACACCTTCTGGGCTCCATGTCTCGTTAAGAGATCTGCGGGAGACACCCCTCGAAGTGCTTCAGGGTGCTCTTCAAGTAGGATGCCACTCTGGCTTGGTTGCGGGTCTCAATATGCTTCACCCCATTGGGATCTCTCCTTAGGCCAGGGGTGCTGGTGTTCGGGAAAAGCAAATCTTCCGAAAAATGAACAATCAATGGCTTTGCCTTTTCCTCCACCTGGGACACAGCTTTACACCGATCATCATTTCCTCATGATATCTCTGACCTGTAGCTAAAGTATGTCCAGCTTCCAACCCAACATCTCGGGCAATTTCTCAACTGCTCCACAGGCATCTCCCAACATATAAAATCCGATGAGTGGAGCCGCAAAAAGTACAGGTGTCCACAAGTCTTGAGTTGTGCTAGCACAGCTACAAGCATGCTTTTTGAAAATAGATTATGTACATATTATCGCTCATGTGGGGTTTCCTTTTTGGGCTACTAGTTCATGCCTGTAAAGTTCCATTGGCCACTTGGTCATCCAGTTTCAATCATCCCAGCGAGGCATCAGTGAAAGTTTGAATCCTCAAAGTACTGCTGAGGCTGAAATCACTCAAAACCAGCTATTCAGTTATTCATTTCATTTCGAATGACTCATAGCTGATGTTTAGCAAAATAGATCAAAGATGATCAAATAAAAATCAACTGCGATCAGCTTAAATCAGTTTCATCTCAGCAAAATATCAGTTGAATCTCAGCTGATCTCCCAGTTCCGTCGAATTCCGGCCCGAGCTTCGCATGCCACGCAAAGCCCTGGCGCGCCACAAGCTCCAGTTGGGACGCCTCTGGTCTCCTGGGTGTCATGGGAAAATCAGGGAGAAATTCATGGGATTATGATGGATTATATAATGATAAGATTGATCAATGGCCTGACATTTGCTTGATACATCTGGGATATCCTCTTTTTTGCGGAGTATCTAAAATGTGGGGTCAATAATTTTGAGCCATTGTCCGCGTCAAAGATTAACCGAAGCCGAGCATCAAAATCGATGCCCACCTTGAGCCGTCCTTAGCCGCGCCACTGAGAGCCATGGGTCAAAATCATGGCCCTTGTTTGTAGGATAAATCAAGACTGCCACCAAACAAGCCACTATGGCCCCTGGGAGACCTGAAAAAAATTGATGTCTTTGGATCAATAATGTGGTAAATCGGTAAATCCAATCAAACCTACCATTTGGATCCATTTGAGGTGGTTGATGCCACCCGGTTCCCACATTGCCCAACTCTTTCACAGCTGAGGAGAGTGCAGTCCCAGCCAGCGTTGTGAAGGCAGTGCACCAGCCATAGAAGGCAATGAAGACCACCAGGCTTAGCGCCCCTCAGCGATCAGCAACCACGGCAGCTACCCGCATTTCCCGTTTCTCTATGGTGTGATGATTTTTGAGGAACACAACTGGATGAGATATTAAATTCATACCCAAATGGAGATCAATAGATATGAATAGATATATATATATATAATTGTATAAATACAGTAGGTCTCAGTAGATGTCAGTAGGTTTCGATATGTTTGGATATCATGGGATGCATTGTGGGCCCGAAATTGAACATCAAACCACCTGTGAGGATCTCGCCTTGTCGCACTCCAGCCATGCTGAGACGTGCCTCGAGCTGAGACTGGCTCTGAGTGAGGACATGCTCCTTATAGCGGCTCCATCAAGGGCCATTTCCAGATATCAAGTTAATCAGATATCCTGATCCATAATATATTCACGGGCCATTGAAGTATTCAAATTTCAATTTTCAAATTCTTAAATGATCCCCCTATGTCATCTGAATCATCTGATATCCCATTCTACATCCAGCCTCAGGGCGCGTGCCCCATTGCAGAAAGCACAGCAGCACACGCCGTGCCACTTCGAGCCAAAATGGCCAGCAGAATTCCAACCCTCAGATATCCTCCAATAATCTGAGATACCAAATGATCCTGTCTGATATGATATGGTCTTTCTTGATCATCCAGCTGAGTATGAAAATTCAACATCGTTCAACCACCAAGGCCAACCATCAAACCACTACAATCTCCGCCTCTTACCAAATGAATCCAAATGACATCATGTCACCTCAGGAAGTAAAACAACAAAAACCAGCGTTGCCGTGTTTATTGTGGCTTATTCCATGTTATATTTCCATTATATTTTAGATATTCTCAACATTTTCCCATGCCCCCTATGGCGTTTCAGCCATTTTCCCTGGAGTTTCATGGCAGGCGCAGTTAAAAAAAAAAGAAAAACGACCTCCACACGTTCAAAGAACTCTTCCTCATCCTTTGGCCTGGCTTTCGGATGCTTTCGGTCCATCACTTGTGTGACTTATGACTCACTATCATTAAAAAATCCTCCAAGATAATTAGATTTATTATGAATAATTATGATGTGAATGATACTTGATATACTTGTGAATGATAGTGAGTAACAGATTATTAACAGCATTAATTAAACCCTTCTCCCAAGATTCTTACTTTATTCATTAAAAATCCCCCTTTGAAACCATTCTTAGCATGTTGCTTAGTCATTTGGGATGTGCTGTGCAGGCTACGAGCTAATGCACCTGTTGGGCTTTGCCTTCGTCTTTGGCTTCGGCTGTTCAGGTGCCTGTTACTGGAGGTTCCCCAAATATGGTAATGTGGGTAAACCCAATAATAACCCTCTATTGGGGATGGCTTATTATTGGGCTCCCCACATGAGTAGACTTAGTAGATGTTGACCCATCCCCAATTTGGCGCTCAAACATGCTCAGACTTTGTCTATTTGGAACCCTCTCTGTGATTCTTTTGGTTGGTTTCACTAAATGGGTGTATATCAAAATCGGACGGCAAAAGGTGCAAAGGGTTTGGGGTGCAGAAGCAAACGGCGCAGGCTTGGCGAAATGCACCAGTTGAATGTCACAAAACATCTCAAACAAACATCCATGTTGTGAAGTTAATGCTTAAACTCCCCCAAGTTTTCTTTGCATTTGCCATACTTGCATGGAAGGTGCCTTCCTTTTTCCAACTCATGTTGTCTAAGCCACTGCTAGCTACTCAAACGGCATGTGCAGGGCCCGGCTGTGCCCGGACTTAAAAGGCACTGCTGCAAATAACACCCAGGTCTCTTCCCTGTTCGGAGCTCTCCGCTGTTTGCATGATGCTCCAACTTCTTAGAGTTGCAGCCAGCTGCTATTGTCTACAATTTCATCAAACATTTCACCAAACCCCGTCTATTTAAGGCCATTCAAGGCCTACCCCGAAACTCCCCTCTCAACCAGGTGGGTCAAATTCTACATGACAGGTCTGCACCCCGCTTTTTGAGACCGTGTCAGTGAGTTTACCTGTCTCTTTCACTGGATGTGAACTCATTCAACCCCTACTGACCTGTAGTCTCCAACATCGTGAAACACCACAATCGCGGTGTCTTTTGAAAAAGGGTCCTGCTTTTTGAGCTCTTTCTAGTCCCCGTTTCAAATCTACCCGGCTGCCAACATTTGCCAACAGACCTTTCCCTTGAAATTCCTGCGGACTCTGCCGAACAAAGGAAGCATCCTAGGCCATGCCCTCAAAAGTTGGAGCTGGCACCGGACACGCCAAGCCAAACGCCTTGGTGGCCCACTAACTAACAATCGCCTCGCCCCTCCATTGCTACCGGCCGTTGGAACAACAACTTTAACCTGGCAAATCAATTGATAGAATTGATAGATAATAGATACTGGTATGATGCAATTTAACCATCTTGCGATATTAATCGACATAACACTAAGTGGTATAATTGTCGTCAATGGACTAACCCTAAACCATAACAACCAAGGTGGGTGTTCATGTATATATGCAAATGTATGTATGTATGTATGTATGTATGTATGTATGTATGTATGTATGTATGTATGTATGTATGTATGTATGTATGTATGTATGCAAATGTATGCAAATGTATGCAAATGTATGCAAATGTATGCAAATGTATGCAAATGTATGCAAATGTATGCAAATGTATGCAAATGTATGCAAATGTATGCAAATGTATGCAAATGTATGCATGTGTATGCATGTGTATGCATGTGTATGCAAATGTATGCAAATGTATGCAAATGTATGCAAATGTATACAAATGTATACAAATGTATGCAAATGTATGCAAATGTATGCAAATGTATGCAAATGTATGCAAATGTATGCAAATGTATGCAAATGTATGCAAATGTATGCAAATGTATGCAAATGTAGGCAAATGTAGGCAAATGTAGGCAAATGTATGCCAATGTATGCATGTATGCATGTATGTATGTATGTATGTAATGTAATGTAATGTATGTAATGTATGTATGTAAGTAATGTAATGTAATGTAATGTAATGTATGTATGTATGTGTGTATGTGTGTCTGTGTGTGTGTTGTATGTATGTATGTATGTATGTATGTATGTATGTATGTATGTATGTATGTATGTATTGCGAATCGGGGATTGCCTGTCCGATTATGTCCTGGTAGTTAGTGTTGAAGTGATTGCTCCAGTGATGACGTTACGCGGGCAGCAGCTTCCGCATAGCTGTTCTTTACTCCAGTGCTGCAGTGGGTCTTGAGCCAAAGAGGCCAGTTTGAAGTGCCCCTTTGGTGCTGGATCCTAGAGTGTCTAATTGTGATAATATACAATGGTCCGTAGCCTACACTCTATTCGCACCCCCCACGCACAGCCAACTTTGTTGGCTGCGCGCAAAGGAGTGTCCTTTAAATTGATCCACTACACTCGCAGCTGTTCATTTATTGAATTATGGAGAGCTAAAGTCCGTTCAGAACTTCTAATCTACAAGGCGGCTTGCTACGATCTCTACCAAAAAAATAAAGGTTCTGTTCACGTGCATGTAGACACGACGTAGTCGGTGTCTAGCATTGAGGTTCATCCGATGTGGCGTAGCCAGCATGGAGTCTCACTCAAGCATGTGAATTAAAGAAATCAAAAACACAAAGTTGACTATGGAATTAGAAGTTTACCTTCCCGTTCCTTCGTCGGTTGAGATGTAGACCGCTGTAGAAACTCAGCGTCTCGTGCAATGATGTTCAAAAAAAATGTGTGGTTCTAAATTAGCCGGCTCAGAGTCCTCTCAGAAATCATTCGAAATGAAGTAGAGGTAAATCTCGAGCAATGATTGCATCCTCGCATCGCCAGGTTCAATCAGGACCTATGCAGAGGTCATATCGAATAATCATCTATAACCCCATCCATAGTATCCCTGTTGGTTCCAGTCTCCGCCACGGTGTGAATAAGATTTTCCACCTTTTCCTTGGTCTTTTCCACCCTTCTTTGGCGGGGTCACTGGAGCTTGTTTTGGCGGAGGTGCGGTTTCAACTGTTCTCCATGTTGCTGACGATGATGCTTTCGCTTTTGACACTCTTCCCAATGCTGGTGCTGCTTTTGGAGCTGCTTTCGACTTGCCAGCGGCTGGGTTGGTACGTTCACGATCAGCAGGAGTTGGGGCATCAGCAATCGCAAGTATATGGGCGTCAGTCATGTGGATGCCCCACCTTGGTCGTTGATCTTCCCGTTGCTTAATGTGATTGTAGTCATCGATTGCATCATATAGCTTCTGGAGTAGAGGTCGTGGCAATTGTCGGCCATTTTGAAGGATCAGGTGTAAAAGTGATATTCTTCGAAGTGGTGGACGAAGAGCACACACAATGTCAACTGGGTTCAGTGTGATTGTGTCTTGAAAGTCGACGTTCCTGAAGAAATAAACAGCATTCACCCTATATGCACCTGCAATGATTCTTCTGACCATGGCGTCTTGTCGGTCAAGGGCTTCGCGAGCAGCTGTGGTCTTTCTCATCTCATCCATTGTTGTGTCACGTTTCGACAGCTTCTCCATCTCCTCGTCAAAGAAGATATTTTGCAAGTCATCATACGTGTAGCCACATTCAAGGGTATATATGGGAAGTCGCTTGAGTACCACTGCCCCATAATATGCATTGACGAATCCCTCTTCTCCGATGTCGTCCTTTTGATTTGGTCGGCCGATCTCTTTGTAGAGCTCTTTCATCTGTTGTGCAGTTGGTTCAATGAGTTCACCATTTTCGTCCTCGCCTAGGTAAGGCACTCTTGAGTCCAGGTCCATCCTGAATTTCTGGTTCTGCTGAAAATGTTTCCATGCCGTCTCGATGTCTCCACAGAAGTTCCGTTGGAATAGTCTGTAGATCCTGACGATATGTAATCCAATCTGCAACAGGAGGATCTTGATGAGCTCCGGCTGAGCATCTCCAATTGTGCAAGGCTCGATTGGTAGGACCTTTGATCCAAACTCAATTCGCTTCATCCACTTGGGAAACTCAATCACTGCATCACGAGCTTCGCCAGCCTCGTACTCTTCAATGTTGATTTCATCGACCGCTATCTCTTCATCGTCGTTCTCGTCGGTCGGTTTTCCTTCCTGATTGAGAAATTTGTCGACCTCATCTTGTTCTCTGAAGTCTCTTTTCTCATCATTGATGTCGCCCTTCTTCGAGGCTTGATCATCATCTCCTTCTTCTGGTTGAGTTTCTTGTTCTGGACTCTTCATGGTTACGTCATCATCATCTGGCATCACCTCGTCGTCATCACCATCACCTGTCAAATCGATCTTCACCTCCTC